TGGCCATATTAGGATCAAAATGTGTTTTATCATTATCCGTATATTCTAATGTTGATGTGACCCAAGTGACAAGAAGTGAACTCGACTCCATGAAGTATTTGGAACGTGAACACCATGGAATGAAGGCGATTATGATGCCACATCAAGGTGTAACAATTCTCGAGCTCAATGAAACATTGAGACACTTTTATAGTGTATCGTGTAGTGAGGATGACTATTTGGTTGCTGTCAAGTCAAAGGAAGCGGAATCCATCTTGCGAGAGCTTCGTATACCGAGGATAAATATTTTACGACAAGGTGCATCATTCAAAGAGATATCTGCAGGTGATAGATTACCTTGTCACTTACATGCAGTCAAACGGAGGAGCATACACTGTTCACTCAACATTGTTATTGCGATGCAAGAATGGTATAATAATAAAGGTTATAAAGGTGCTAGCGGAGTTCATCCTGGACTTGGACTAGGTAAAATTTGTAAAGTTCAACCAAATGTATAAGAACTTGTCACTATTAAAAGAGTAACCTTCATACGATAAAAAATGCGTCATTTTGTTTATTTACATCATCCTTTTACTATGATGATAGCTGGACCAACAGGGTCGGTCAAAACTTACTGGGTAAAAAGATTAATTAATAATGCAAATAAATTTTGTAAACCTCCTCCTGCACGGATAACTTATTGTTACGGAGAATATCAACCATTATTCTCAACTTTTGCAAATACAAATTTCATTCAAGGTATTCCTGATGATATTTCCGATAGTTTCGATGGTGTTGAACCACAATGGTTGGTCATAGATGATTTAATGCATGAAGCATCGAAATCTAGAGTTATAAGTGAGCTGTTTACGCGAGGTTCTCATCATAGAAACCTATCGGTTATTTTGATTGTCCAGAATTTTTTCATGAAAGGTATCGAAAGTAGAAATATTTCATTGAATACTCATTATTTAGTTTGTTTTAAAAATCCACGAGAAAAGCTATTGGCAACTAATATAGCTCGTCAAATGTTTCCAATGCAGATTAAGCAGTTCCAGAAACTTTATGAAGATGCTACAAAAGAGCCACATTCGTACATATTTTTCGATCTAAAACCCTTTACACCTGAGAAACTTAGACTTCTCACAAATGTACTTGGAGAAAAAGATTACATTACTGCATATATCATTATATAAGAAAATAATATCAGTAAGGATTAATTCAAAGATGAGTGTTGAATATTGCATTAAATGTTTGCCATGGTTACGCAAATTGTGTAAGGCAAAAATGTTAAAGAGAGAAAGAAAGTTTTCGCTAATGGACCACGTAATTTAATAAAAGTTATTCATTGTATCATAAAAAACTACTATCTGGTAAAATTGCTCTTGTGGGTAAAGAAAAAGAAAATTAAAAGGTATAAGAATTTTTACGTAGATTTGCTAAGTCAAAACATTCAAATTCTGTACAACAAAAGATTCTGATAAAACAGAAAGGAGGATTTTACAGAATTTACTCATACCAGTTATCAGTGTATTAGCTTCATCTCTGATTGAGAAAGTTTTAAATGAATGTATTCAAGCGGATGATATTGCTTCCAGAAGATCAGTTCAATAGGCTGACGAATAAAAAAGAAACAACAACAACTAATATAATTAATGCTGATCTTGAACCAGATCTTAAAGTAAAGTTGGTAAATGAAATAGATCATATGAAATCAGAACCAACAGAGATAAAACCCAACCTGGCTGTTCATGATACAAGTAAAACATTCAATTTGACTGCAGCTGATAATAGTTCAGAAATGAAAATGCTGAAAATAAACAAGACGAAGATGATAGATTAATTCTCGCGTTAAGAAATATTGACGATTTGATCTCTCCTGACGGCATGGTGCTTACAAAAAAAGGGAAAAAGATAAAAGGAAGTGATATAAATGATGTGATTTCTTTTCTTAACAAACCACATTCTCGTTCATACCCTACTGCAACTATCCGTGTATTGAAAGCTATAAAAGAAAACAACCGTGATATAGCACATTTAATTCGTAATAAGAAAGCAAAGAACAGTATAGTAAAGTTGACATGGAACGATCTAAAGACGACATCTTGAAAGAAATTTATTATGATCCGAAATCACCAGGATCTCTAGGTGGATTAAAAAGGTTGTATAATCATGTATCTTCATTGTATCCTGAGATAAAGTACAAAGATGTCGCTAAATGGCTAACACAGCAAAACACTCATTCTTTATTCAAACAAGCCAGAAAAAGGTTTCTTCGTGTTCCAATTTTAGTTGATTTCATTGATGAGCAATGGCAAGCTGATTTATTAGACATGACATGGCTTGCTAAAGAAAATAATGGGTACAGATACATAATGGTTGTAATAGATGTACTGAGTCGTTATGCCTGGACAGTTCCACTTCATGATAAATCTGCAAACTCTGTTACCAACGCATTCAAGAGTATTTTCAATAAAGGTCGTAAACCTAAGAAATTACAAACTGATCAAGGGAAAGAGTTTATCAATTCCAATGTGAAGCTTTTAATGGATAGTAATGGTATAAATCATTTTAAAGCTACTGACGGGTTGATAAAATGTGCAATTGCTGAAAGATTTAATAGAACTTTAAGAAGCAGAATATATCGATATTTACATGCAAATAACACCAATCATTACATTAATGCACTTGATGATATAGTAGCAAGCTACAATAATTCTTTTCACAGGACAATTGGTATGAAACCAAGTGAAGTAAACTCAAATAACACCACACTTGCAATAGTTAATATAAGAAAAACACATATTAAGTCCACATCAAAAGTTAAACCGCTTAGTGTTGGTGATTTTGTAAGAATAACAAGAGAGAAAGGTGTTTTTGAAAAGGGTTCAACAAACAATTGGTCAGAAGAGGTATTTAAAGTTATTAAAGCTAAAAAGACTCCTCAAGGTTACATTTACAAACTTGAAGACCTTGAAGGTGAAGATATTACATCGATTTTTTATCACTGGGAGATTCAACGGACTGATAAACCAGACTTATTGGATATTAAAATATTAAAGACTAGAAAAAACCCAAAAACTAAAAAGACTGAGTATTTTGTCAAGTGGATTTCATACCCAGAAAAGTTCAATAGTTGGATTCCCGCTGAGAATGTTGAAAAACGCAAGTGAATATTTTATAGATGTTGTAAGTAATGCATCTATGCAAATTTACCCTAATAACACTCTTTCGAATTTCATGAATAAACTGCCACAACCTTTATCATTAAATGGAGAATGGGTTGTAGGTGTTCAGGAAGTTTTCTACCCGCTGAATTTCAAAACAGAAAGTAAAACTGTGAGTTTCACCATTATATATCAAGATCATAAAACAGGAGATAAAATTACAGGAGCAAACTCTTCAATTTTATTCAATGAGCGTGACACTGTAAACAGTATTTTACAGAAAATTAATGAGGAAATTGTAAAACTTTTTCTCAAAGATGAAGGTGAACAGTCAGAAGAATTCATAAAAGCAGCTGAACCACCAAGACTTTATTTAGAAAATGATAAAGTTGTAGTAGCAAGAGGAATGTCTGCTGCTGCAATAATGATCCCAGTATTTCATAGTAAATATTTTTATCGTTTAATAGGGTTTCATGAATATGACTATAATAGGCAATTTCTTGCAGTGTTAGCCTCACAAGCAATCGCGTGTAGAGCACAAACTACTTATGATTTCAGAATAAAGTCACATCTTCTATTCATTTATACTGATATCATTCATGAACATTTCGTTGGTGATACAAATGCTCGGGTTTTAAGAGTAGTACCCTTTTAAGAGACAAAAATGATAATCTGGGTCATATCTTTTATAACAAGCCTAACTATCTACCTGTCAGATTAACACATTTAGATAATATAACGATCAGTTTACGTGATGAAAATGGAAATATGTTACAATTCATAGATGGAAGAGTACACATTAGTTTACACTTTAAAAGAAAAGAAACTATATAAGAAGTAACTCAGTGAATTTTTTGGAACTAGTAGTTAACATAAGAATGGATCGTAAAGTTTATTGTGCATGCGACAGTGATTTTACAAGTCACTTCAAGCAACAAGCAGGAAAGGGTTTCGACGATATAACAATCTACCGAGGTCAGCCTTATCAGAGAGGTTATGGGTTTGGTAGCATATTCAGAAGAATTGGCATTCCGATTTTGAAGTTTTTGAAAGGAATTATTAAAGACTGGAATAAATGTAGGTAAAGATGTTCTAGATGATAAAAGTTTAAGGAAGCTTTGAAAACTAGAGGAAAAGAAGGTATAAGATCTGCAGCTAAGCGTGGGTTATCAGAAATCGAATCAGCTTTTGATCAACAAGGATCAGGTTTCAAGAGTAAGAAAAAAAAGATTACAAGAAAGAGAAAACAAAAGAAAAAGAAGCAAAAAGTTGTTAAAAAACGGTATAAGAAATCTAAATCTAAACCTAAACAAAAAAGTAAAAGAGAAAAGATATTTTTGAATAAATAGAAATGGAGTATCTCCATTCATCCTCTATTCCGGTCAGTAAATCTGAACTCGAAGTCTTTGCTATACCGCCAACACAAACAGCAATTGATTCATCTTATGAAGTAGAATATCGACCTAATGCAAGTCTTGACAATGGTGCGAGTTTCGAAATCAATGTTCCAGCTAGTGATGATTTCACAGATCTACAAGCAACTATGTTGCACTTGTTAGTTTCAGTTACAACTGAAGATGGCAAACCTATCGGAGAAGTAAACAAAGTCAGGCCAGTTGCTAATTTTGCAAACGCTATATTTGAACAAATTGATTTATTTTGGGCAGTATAAACACATCACCAGCCAACAACATGTACCATTATCAAGCACTATTAGAAGATGAACTCTTCCGATTCCCAACAGCAGCAGATACAGGGAGAATGGAAATCGCAGATGAAGATCGAATTAAAAATAAAAATTTTGATTTGTTTTTTCGCTTGCATTTGCCACTTTGTGAACAAGATAAATTGATTATGAGTGCTGTTCCGATTGCATTCAGATTCACGAAAAGCTCTGATGGATTCGCACTGGTTAGATCAGACGATAAAAAATACAAAATTAAAATAAACTATGTAAGTCTTCACATCAAGAGAGTCAAACTATTCCCTGATGCTGCTCTTAGTGTGATTAAGGGTTTAGAAACAGCACCCGCAAAATATTTTATTACGAGAAATGAAACACGTTGCTTTACTATTGGACCTAACCTAAGCGCTGCTGCAGTGGAAAATGTATTCAGTGGTATATTACCACGGAGAGTTATTATCGGGTTTGTTGATGAAGCTGCATTCAGTGGGTCATATGACGATGATCCATTCATCTTCAAGAATTATAATATAAACTTTTTAGCTTTATATGTTGATGGAAATATGATACCCAGTATCCCTTATACTCCCAACTTTACTGAAGGATTTTGCATGAGAGAATTTGTCAATCTTTATCGTTTCATGAATCAAGATGAGGGTCATCCGCAGATGCAGATAACTTACGATCAATTTAAAGAAAATAGAACACTTTTCGCTTTTGATTTATCACCTGATGGATCTATTGGGGCTGAGAACGGTACACTATCTTTAATAAGAAGAGGTATTATAAGACTTCAAGTAAAGTTTTCGAGATCTATCGCACAACCTATCAAAGCAATCATATTTGGACAATTTGACAATCTCATAACTATCGATGAAAATAGAACTGTTACATTAGACTATTGAGATGCTTACTACAACTGATATAATTAAACTTTTAAGTCGTATAGTTCACTTTCAAGGTGTATTCCCAATTGACTGTTTACCAAGATTTGTTAAAGTACCAGCTTCACTTGTTGTGAACTTGGATCCTCATTATATGGATGGTAGTCACTGGGTTGCAATATATATTGATAATAAAAGAAACGCACATTATTTTGACTCATTCGGTCGACAGCCTATGAGTCATATTCTTTCTTTTATCGAAAAGAACTCGAGAGGATATACATATAACAAAATAAAATTTCAAGCGAATGAATCAATTGCATGTGGTTATTTTTGTATTTTATTCATAATAATGGCAAATAATCAAAAAAAGTTTTATAAAATGATGAAAAAATGTTTACATATTGAGAATGAAATGTTAGTGTATTATTATATAAGAAAATTATTTTGTAAGAACATGACCAAATGCATACGATGAGATAGAATCATCCAATAAATATCTTTTATCATCAAAAGGAGTCATTACTATTTTTTTATTTCGTAACAAACTTATAACATGTTTGTCCGATTGTAGTCTTCTTTGTACTCGGGAGGGTATAATTTCTTCCTGCAAACAGTCCAGAAACTGTTTGAATGTAACGTCCTTCTTAACGGTGGATTTTTGAATACCTTTAGCTTTCTTTTTCTCACCAGAATCAGTAATCATCGCGTAAAGTTTTGGCTTAAGAGCAATAAACTTATGAATACTTTCACCACCCATCTCGTCTTTCAAGTATCCAATCGCTCTTTCATGATCATTATTATACAGAGGATGCTCCTTTGGGTAGTTACTAAAATCCATAATATGTGAAAAGTGCTTAAGATCGGAAATTATATCAGCAGTTTTTATATTATAGATTAAACTATCAGTATCGGTATAAAGTAGTTCAATTTTGTTGTTGTAAAACTTTTTGAAAGAGTCATAATGTAGCTCGAACATTTTCAGCTTCGCCAATTCCAAAACAGCAAATCCAACAGCAACTGGCTTATTAAGAAAAACATTCTGTTTAATTAACTCAAACACCATTTTTCCTTCATCAACTATGATGAACTGTTGACATAATTCAGATCTTAATCTTTTCAGTGCAATATTTTCTTGAAAAACAACATCGACTTGTTTATGTTTCCGTTTATCTTCGATGGTTTTTCCATAAATCGAATTTACCATTAATTTCCAGAAGTCTTTGTCAAACGAATTTGTTGCTTCCTGTCTTTTACTTGTGCAGAAATCGACATACGGTTTTAACCATGGAGTTTGCTGGAATTTGAACGCACGATGTATTTTTTTCACAATGAGTCCTTTTCCAAATAGTAAAGAAGTGTTTTGTAGTGCACAACATACTTCTCTTTAAATAAAAACGATGATATTAACTTCTGAGTCGGACGGTGTGTAATCAACGATGTTGTTTTCATTCGAGTCAATAAACCGCGTTGGTAAGGACTCAGCATGTCCAAATTCACTTTGTGTTTATGTGGAGCCAAAGGATAATCATTATGTTCTTTATGGAGATTGACTGGATATTCTAAATCTACTTCTAGAATGATTCCAATGGAATCTGAACACATGGTTAATAACTGATGAACATCTCTTATCATAGAAATATTTATCCATTCAAAATCACAATGTGGTAATGACTGTGACATAGCATAGCCGTATAAATTGTTGACATCAAAGTAGAGAATATGGTTATGTTCTTTATTCTCATCAAAGTCAGGCACAGAAGGATTGTTAGCTTCACACAACCGTTTAGACACAACCGTTAAACCTCCTCGAATTCCTTTCTCGATCATCATCAGCATGTCAACATCAGTAATTAACTCAACCTTTGAAAATGTTGTTTTCAAGGCTGCTGTCCATGACAATCCTGGTGCTGAATAATGATGACACGGATCAAGTTTGAAATGTTGGAAACTTACTTTGCGGAAATTCTCAAAAACGGCAGCCAACAAAAGCACATCTACTTTTAAATATATGTCATGTAAATCCCCCAAGGTTTTACAATCAAACTTTTGCCATATTTCTTTTAGATGTTCATATGTAGAGCTTGAAATAGTATCATCTTTCAGTGATGAGTAAAATGAAGTTAATTCAGGTAAACTCGTTTCATCAAATCTCTCAAATGAATCGATATACTCGTATGGAAGAGCTGCTTTCTTCAAAAGTAGTTCTTGGTTATTATTGAAAATTTGATTGATATACGATAACTTTGTTTCTTTAATCAGATTATCTGCCAATGATTCGAGGCTAGAGGGAAGGAAAGAAAAACTGTCAAGAAAAATAAAATCTTGGAAAGAAAATGAAATGTATTTTTCAATTGTATGTGGTATAATTTTCAGATCTTTAGCCATCTCTGCATCCAAAGCTTGAAAAATAATGTGGCCATCAAAATTTTTTAAATTGTGAAAGATTACAGGAATTTTTGATGGTAAGCTATAAGCCAAATTGCATTTACTATGAGCGGCTCCTCTATATTTTCCAGTCAGGTGATCATGATCACGAACTCTGTCACTACCCATCGGTTTGTGACAGATATGGCAATAAGTTTCAATTTCAAAAGAAAATGTATCAACTGTAGTCATTTTTAAGGGTTTGCTGATTCTTTTAATTAAATCTTTGAATTTTTCCTGTAGGGAATAATACTTTGCAGGAACTTTACACCAGCATTTTCACCACGATAAAACTTGCTTTCAATTATTTTATCATTCCAATCAATAGCAACATAGCCATAACTGCAAACAGGCAATGTTCTATCTTTCGATGTCCCATCATTAGTAGCTATAGACAGTGTTTCGAAATCAGCATAAATAACGATTGGAAATTGGATTTCCTTATGATAAGATTTATATTTCAGGGTTGCATGAGGTGTTCCTGCTTCTGGAAGGGTTATACGTTGAGGTGAGATGTTTATACAATACGCAAAGTGTTCTTGTAATTTCGCATCATCTCTGAATGAGTTGAGACAACGATAACAATGATGAGATGCATGTTTGTTTTTGAAGCTTGCTAATCTATTAAAATTTGTTATTTTATAATAATGATTATCATACAAAACAGTAAGATTGGAATATTACTTATACGTTCAGAAATTTTCAATGGGATAAGACATTTTTCATCAATGTTATAAGTATAAATATTTATAGACAGATTATTCTTTTTCTCAAAAGAGTTGACCTGGTTGAGAGTAACTTCACCAAGAACGTCACTTATATCGTAATTTTGTTTAAACTGATCATATTTGTTTGATCTTTGTGGGTTATTGGTATGAGGGTGAAGATAGGCCAATACCGAATAAATGAAACAATCTTTCTTAGTTTTAATATTAAGAAGACATTTTTTCTTGCTCAAGCCAGCTGGTAATTTGAAGTGATTACATCCACCACGATGAGGCACATATTTACCGATTTTCAATCGTATATCTTTGAAATACAATAAATGCCATCCACTTCCTCTTTCAGTGTGTTGCTCAATAAGCTCTTTTATCTCTTCAAAAGCATTCACAATTTTTATATGAATGTCATCAGCCATTAATACAGAGTGTAGTATTGAATGAAAGCACCTTCGTAGAGTAGTATCGATATCAACAGGATGCCCGAAGACTACATCAACAACAATAGAAAATTTAATACACTTATGCTCATCGAGATATTTTTCAATTATTGATTTTATTTCGTCACTGTAATCCATTTTCACTTGTTCAATATCAACTTGTTGAACATTTGCATTTTGGTAACAAACAAATTTATTGAAAGCACTTTCAATCAAATCGAAATTTTGATTTGCATATGGAACTTGCACAGGATTTATCTCAATTCTTGCTTCACACCATTCAACGTGCGATTTAAACGCATTTTCTCTCAAATCCACGATGACAATGATGACAGCGATATTTTGCTTTTTTCTGATCCAGCTTTGCTTTCTTCAATACTTCACCTTCATCTGCAGATGTATCCAACGACCTTTTTTCACTATTAACTTCATTACCGTGACTAACATCCATAGAACACTTTTCACAGGTAGAACTGCAAGGTTGATCAATTGTATGATGGTCATCATTATCATCATTTTGGATGTTTGAACAAACATGATTGATGAAATCTTCTTCAGAGTTTGTTTCAAAGTAACAAAATTTACAGAAGAATGAAGAGTTTTGACAGTTATGATTTAGAAAATCTTGAGTAGATTCTGTGTTGTATGAGCAATAATCACACTGATGGTATATTGATAAAGGTGTTATACTCCTTTCTTGACAAGCATGTAAAAGCAGTGATGAATGGTCATCAGCAACAAAATCACATTCCTCACATATTATATGGCTTCCCAGTCTTCAGTCCTTAACCCCATCACATTCATGGCTGAGGAACTCTTCTAAATCTGTACTAATATAGTAGCAATGATCACAAGTTTGCATCAATAGTTGATCTACTTGTTCAACGCGAGCACTGGGACATTCATGAGAATTAAGTGTTTCTTGGTCAATGGCCATAAAGTCACAGAATAAACACGTGAAATGTCTTTCCACATTATCAATATCCATAAAGGATGGCTCTTGCTGTGGTGATGCAATCGGTAGACGATATTCATCCAAGTTGATGTCGATCTCTTTATCATAACCAGCACATGAGTGCATGAAGAGATCTTCAACCGAACCTTAGTTACTCCACAATAATCACATCTATAAATCTGTGAAAAAGCGTTTTAATTATAATAGAATATAAGTTGAATGAGAGATGACTTTCTTTTCATTAATACCAATAACTTTATTTCAAAATTATAATGATTAACTAAAATTTTATTTATTTTTCATTTCAGTCAATTTATCATATTTGATAGCATTTTGTCTCTGCTTAGCTGATTTCTCTCTCAATTTACAAAATAAACCATAATTAGTATGAAATTTCATTACTATTGATTGGTTTTGTAGCAACCTCTTTACTTTTTTTAATAAGTTTATTGGATGAACAAAAGTATTTTCTTGCTAGCTTTGTGTATATAAAGTTTTTTCCCATATCTCCATTTGGCCTTGATTTTATATCTGCATTACGTAACTTTCGTCTTAGGGCTGCTTTCTGATTTCGAGTCGGATTAGAGTAGTTTGGTACAGGAAGATCCATAGCTTCAAGGATATAATCGAATACTGCTGTTGGAAAGAACCTTGGGTCATCTAAATCCCAATTAGTCTCTAATGGTATTATCTTAGTCTGTTTTGTATGTAAAGTTATTGATATTAATGAAAAGAGAATAGTCAATATATAAGAAACATCACTTACAGTTTCATCCATATCAATAGTAGATATGTAGATGTATGTAGATGGTGTATGTAGATGGTGTATGTAGATGGTGTATATGTAGATGGTGTATGTAGATGGTGTAGATGTATGTAGATGGTAGATGGTGTGTAGATGGTGTGTAGATGGTGATGTAGATGGTGTATGTAGATGGTGTATGTAGATGGTGTAGATGTAGATGGTGTATGTAGATGATAGATGGTATGTAGATGGTGTATGTAGATGGTGTATGTAGATGAACTATAACCTTAAGAGAGTATTCAAAATGATTACTTACTCAAAAGATCAGTGAGTGAAGAGTGTTGTTGAATGATGAGCATTTTCTGCAACCTCTTCCTTATATACTGAGAAGGAAGATAAAATGGGCAGAGCTTCCTAATTAGCTACCCAATCATATCATTAGATAATAAGATTCAATTAAAGTACATGTAAATATACCGTTGAGTTAATTAAGACACTTATTAATACACTATAATTGTCATTAGTACATTTCTCATTATTAATTGACATAGGAATCATCTACATTACCCTATTACATTAGTGTATTATCAATTAATATATTTCTTAATTGTAGTTAATTGTCCTGTGAACATACATAGATTACACTAATATACACTGAGATGCACTAATTAACACTTAAATTTATGTTATACATCATTATATAACAATGCACTAATCTATTGAGCTAATAGTTATAATCGTTAATTAATAATAATGATTATTTAGTACAACTGTACTTATTATATAATCATTATCTCTAATTAACAAGAGTTAATTGTTATACCAATTAGCGTAATCAATTAGCTTAATTGATTGCGCAATAACAAGCTAATTGTTACATGAAAACAATGATAAAATACCATTGGTCAATTGTAAGTGGGCGTGGCTAAATGGTCACTATTTATAACCTTTGAAAGTTTTAAGTCATTTCACTTTCGACCTTAGTTCATTTGACTTACTTCATTATTTTGATTCGTTCTATTGCCTTACAATGTCATCACCATCCTCACCACCACCATTAGAATCTGTTGACAAAAAATACATTGATTCCTTTTGACAAAGTCCCCAGGACTGTAGTTGTGTATCCCACTAACTGTTGCTTGCTTGTGGTGAAAACCTCTAAATTTGACCAAGGATAGGACAAGACCTTCTGATCCTCGGACTAAAGCTGTTCCACTAAAAGTGACCAGAAACCATCCGTATTATAACTACATTGTGCCTCCATTTCGACCACCACCACCACATCCACCTCTAGGAAGTTTACCAGCACCAACTCGACCACCACCAACTCGACCACCACATCCACCTCTACAAAGTTTACCACCACAGCCACCATCATCATCAACACCATCTTCTGCAAATAGTAAGAAAAAAGGTTATTATGAACAACCAGCAACATTGGTTTTTGGAGAGTCTGATGATCTACGGCTAAAAAAAAAGTTTGAATTTTTATTTGCTCATAATAAATATATTAATCGCAAAGACAAAGAGATAATTGTATCCATTTTAGAGCTTGCCATTAAGGCATTCAGCAAGTAGATTGGTTTTATCCTTGAAAAATAAACTTTCAATTTGCTAAGACAAAAATGTTAAAAGAAATTCTAAATTTTTATTCTTAAATGCAATCGTCTCAAAACTGTACCATTGGAAAGAGCTCGAAAAGTTGATTTAGAAACATATATTATTTGTTGCAATCGAATAAATATAAGCGCCTCTAAGCGAGATCAAAAGTTTGGGTTCGTGTGGGAATATTAAAGAAAAGTTTTTTGATTGAAAGGGTTGAGGAGAAAGAGAGAAAAGAAAAAAAGAAAGAGGAAAGGAGAGAGAAAGGAGAGAGAAAGAGACAGGGATAAGATAGAGAGAGAAGATTGTGTGTGTGTGTGAGAAAGATTGTTGTGTGTGTGTGAGAGAGAGAGAGAGAGAAAACAATTTAAACCACTTTGGTGACAAGTAACAATTACTATCACCAAAGTGGTAATTGATTTAATTGAAAAGCAACCCTCTCTGGCCAACTTGAATTTCTGCCCAATATATTTGAACCAATTGAATTTCTGGCCCACTGGTTAGAAATTCCAATTGGGCCAGAAATGCCTGTTGGGCCAGAAATGCAGTGGTACAGAGGGCTGCTTTATTCTACTGTTAACAGTAAGAGAAAAAGCCAATAAACACGAACTGAATAGCCCGTTTATTTAGTTAAATCGACCTTTTCGTGTAGAATATATTTGAATAACTGGTCGGAAGTTCGAGTTAAATCACAAATAATAGTATTTGAGTCTATATTTCCTTCAACACAGATCAACGAACATACGATTGCTTGGAATCGTAATCGGCTGATGAGCTTTTCGTCGATAGTAAAACAAAATTTCTCAAGGATTTTATATGTTTCTCCTCAATCGAGAAAAGACCTCAGCCAATTTCTCTTCAGGCAAATGTTGAATCACTTTAATTCTGGAAAAGGATTTTGATCCTGAGTTCTCAACTATTCCAATACCAAGACAATTCTCGATAAATGCTTTCATCGGGGTTAACTGTAATTTAGATAAATCTTTTTCTAAATTTTCTAAGCATTTGAAATCGCTTTGTTTGACGACATAGAGAGTATTGAAATCGACAAAGTGACTCAAGTATGTGCGTTGAAATTGGTCGCTATGAAAAGCTCGAGATGCTGATTGCCAAAGATCAATACACTATCAAATCGATTTGATGGTGAATTGAATTTGAATGGTGATTCATGTTTACCTTTTGAAAATATTGTTCATTCTTGGCAGCAGGGCAACTATCGATAAGATCACATTCGGGACTCCAACTGACCACATTTCGTTTCAAATGTTCATATTGTGCAAACAAAAAATACTTTTTCTCTGAATTTTGACCAATACTGAATTAAGATGTTCTCGGAGAAAATTAAAACCAGATAATCTCGTTAACAGAAACGCTTAATTTATCATGTCTAATCGAAAAATAACCAAATTGGTTTTCAATCTTTTGTTAGAGAAAAAGGGCTCAATGTTTTTCTGAATAGAAAAAAAAACATTTATTATTTACCTTTTTTGTGCTTTTATTAATAATATCGTTTCCTTTATTACAGATCTAACTGTGATTGAGATCAGCAATTAGTATATTTCTTAAAAACAGTATCTAAATCACAATTGATTGAACGGTATCATCGTATCTCTATTAAGAATTATTATCATCATCATAAGCTCAGCATGGACTGATTGATCGAATGTCATTTTTAAAACCACAACCTTCAGCACCCCAATCACTGTGGCAACCTGATCCTGGTTCTATCCTTGGTCCGATTCTGTTATTACAGTCGTATTCACGGTAAACTCGGACACAGTTATCGCGAGTATTAATTGACTCTACATTGTCCTCAGCTCTCATCTCACCACAACACCGAGTAAACCACGGCCCATTACTGGTACCACCTTTACAACAATAACAACCCCAAGGATGTTCGTTACATAGAAATACAGCATGGAGATTAACACAGCCATTAACATCGACGTATTGTGAACTACCTTTTTGGCCAGTTTGCGAGAATAGTATAACGCTAAAACTATCACAGAAAGTAATAAAGTAAATAACAAAAAGTAGTCGGGGTAACGAATTCATTTCTGATAAAGTTCCAAGTCATTTAACTGTTTGTTATTAAAGTTGCATATTTATAAAACTTTCATTGAGTACTTTTACTTGTTTACATTTTCAGGTTTATATCGATTGACAGTCAAGAGCTTCTTATCTCCTTAGAGTTGATGATAAACAAAAGGTTATGTAGAAGAGCAAATAAGTTAAATATTAAATTATGTAATCAAATCAAATCAAACATCATCACATTTAAAAGATCGGTTACTTGTTGACATAATTGTCAAACCCCTTGATAGGGATAAAAGTTGAAGTTAATGGAGGCTTGGCCCTCTTTGACCCTTTGAAAATCTCTCAGTCAGTTAACTAATTAAAAAGTTGATTCTGATTTCTCAATCTTACTTCCTAGCTCAAGTGATTCTGTTAACGAGAAATTTTAGTGATAATTGTAACTAAGTGGTAATAATAATCGTTAGATTTTTTTATTCAAGATCAATCAACAGTTATACATCGTAACAATTACAAGATAAGTTTTTATCTCTATTTGTTGACCTTTTCATATCATGACCTTCATCTTTATCATCTTTTTAGGTGAGTTAAGTTACTGATTAGTTTGTTTACCTTGGTCTTTTTTAAACGAAACACCCTTCAGTTTTTATTGTAGCCAACGATTCGTTGGAAACCTCAACCTATCAATGTTTAAGTGTTTGAGCTTTTTTACAGATCCAGTTTTCAATTTTAGTCTACTAATTTTTGATTCTACAGAGCTTCAGCTGATGATAAGGCACTTGCCACAGGCTGTTGGTGGACTGAATGCCAATTGAGCGGTGGTACAATATGAATGAAAAAGAATTCTCTATTTTTATGTCAAAAGAGTCTGTCTGTTATTACCAGCAATCGATTCGTAAATTTTAACAATGAACTTCAAGATTAGCTGATTCTATTAAAAACAGGACGAATTTGAAAACAAATCTTATTAGCAAAAGTTGATCAAATAGATAACTATTGAGCCACCAAGTCTCTCGAAGTGTCTCAATCATATTCCACATCGGGAGCATCGACATTTTCTTATTCTTTATGCAAAGCATATCAGACTCGTTACATGTTAAGATACCCGAAAGAGTCCAAGGGCTTACACCCGTTCTTGTTGCGAAACGATTTCCTTGCAGATTATGACTTTGTTTCTTCGGGTTCAATCACTGAAGTTTACAATGAAATGACCAAAGATAAACTTGAAGATTGTTTAGCTGAGATCAATAAGAATGACAAAATTACTAAAGTTAGTTACTCATTATCGTCCAAGAAATGTAAAGTTGGTTCTAACCTGGGAACACTAGTTAACTCACCCAATTACTGTAAAAACTCTGTGTTTCCTTGGAACTGGAGATCTGGCAACAGGTTCGTCGTCAACTAAAACGACTGGAGTTGCATTAAGATCTCGACGGGGTATTTTCGATTGTAATCGTAAACTACCAATTTGGTCAGTTTTCTTCCAACAAAGTTCGGACTTGAAAAAATTCCGTTAAGTTACTGAATAAACTCAAATCCATTAAGAACAAGGCGAGAAAAAATGACATGAAGGCAACGCAACGAGCTTCATGATTACCAACTGTTGTAGATAAAGTTTGGGATAAACATAAAAACTCAACAAGAAACCATGAGATGGACAAGTAAAGTTGAGTCGGATTAACGAAGTGAATATCATGAAATCCAGAGATTAAATAGATTAACAGATATACGAACATGGTAATTGGATAACTTGGAAGTGAGATTATCTTGAGACAAAGATCATTAATCTCTTGGGTACTTAGAAAATGACAGTTGATAATTTGATGATTACGATAATTGTTATCTCGCAGCAAGGAATTGACAAACTTTTGCCAAGATAAACGGTCATTCAGCTCATTGTTAGTGGTCAGTATTCGGACAATTGAACCTAAAGATAAAATGGACATACAGTAAATCTCCATTGTCTTTCTGATTCTCGATGAGCTAAATCGATCACCTAACAATTCAATTATCGTTAAATTGTTACTTGCGAATAGAATGAAAAATCTAACGATTACTATGAATGAGACAATTTCAATCAATCGGTAATAAATTAATCTCCATTTGTTAATTGTAACTGTTTTATCGTAACCACGAAGTATCGCCAAGAACAATTTACCATAAAGTTCATGGGATAAAAGCACTTGATTAGCTTTAGTTAAATTGTTGTCGTTAATTTTTATCGATAATTTTAATTGTTTACTTTTCACTTGATTTGATTGTGAGGATTTACTATAAATTTTTGATAACATTTTCAATATAAACTAATTCACCAATAATAATAACTGTTTATTTGTTGATAGTTGGGATTAAACTTTTTGATTTAGTTCACATTTTTATCATTAATTGTTGATTAGTTTGACAATTGATACAATTTATCATCTATTAGATAGACAATTCATTAAATTGTCGATTCATTTTCTTTCCAAGTGATTAATGAATGATAATTTGATTGACTGACTTTTTCCAAGAGCTTAATCTAATTACTATGACGTAAAAGATATTGATTAAAACCTTAAAATCGTTAATTAGTCAATAACTTTAAGAAGATATTAATAAATTGTCAATTAAATTCGTGAGACTGTAATATGATGACAATTGGCTCTCATTTCTTAATTGTAACCTTGGGAATTATGAATCAATTTGATTAAATCGATTCAAATAGAATTGATTAATCAATCAATTGCTCACCAAGAGATTACCAAACAATCAGTTTTAATTTAATTGTTGATTAAAGATACAAGTATCAAAAGGAATTAAAATGAAGACACTTAAATGACCAGAGTGTTGACCAAACATCACGATGGTCACCAGGCCAATTAAAGGTCATTCCCCAATCAATTGAGAGGGTCAACAATCGAGAAAACCTTAATCCAGTTTAGATTTGATAAAAGAAACAATTAATTGTTTACATGACGAAGATTATCATTTTCTGTTTAGCTATTAATTGTTAAAATTAGTAACTTTAACACTAAATTGTCAAAAAGACAATTAGTTGAAAGAAAAGTTTCTATGTAAATAGAGAGTGAAATTTAAAAGCGTCTCAATTGAGCTTTAGAATGGATTAACTTTGGCTTATCTTTCGTGTTCCAGTGGGTCCTCTCTCATTAATCCAGAGGATTTGTAAGTCTCATTGTCATTTTTAATTCGTCCACAGTTCAAAGGTAATTCAACAGTTAGAGTCGATTGGTTTTCTTCAATCAACTTCCTTCAACAAGAGAGTTTCTTTTTCTCAGCTGATTGTTTTTCGGCTGCTTTTTGGTTCCCGTTCTTGTCCATCTTTTTCTGTTGCTCTTTATTTTTGTGCTAATTTAATGACCACTGATTTGATTAATTGTGCTAATTAAATTTCTGTTTAATTCTATTCTTCGTAATGTAAGTTAATTAAAGAATCGTTTATGTTTAACTTGACATTGTTACTCAGTTTTCTCTTTTGGTTTTTCTTTTGGCTCCTTAATTGTCTCATTTTTTTCTCTTCTTCTTCATTTAGATTAATCAAAATGGATTCCAATCTGATGCAAGAGAAAATCAGTTATGCCTTCACTTTGGGTTTACAGGTAAATCTAATTTGCTAATTAGCCTTTTCATTTATTTTCTTTAATTGTTCCTTTTAAATGTATTAGTCGTTCAATGGTTTTAACGGTTTGTTTTGTTTTTGTTTTCTCTCTTTTTTTGATTTCCATCTAATTGTTATAGTTTAACAACAAAGAGAATGCAACAGAGAGCGAATCTGGTGACAATTGTGATGAAAATTCTACAATTCAAATGAATCATGTTCCAGAACCATCTTTGGTTTACACGCTTAAAATGAAGCACAAAATTGATGGTGTTGATTGGAGAAGAGAAAATCGCTGGAAAAATGTGAATGTTCAAGCATCCGATGGATTCAGTTTACTTTTTCATGGATCATTGTTACGTCAAGTGACAGATTATTTTCTCCCTGTTTCTTTGTCCACTCCTGATGCTCCGATGGAAGATTTTTACTGCCCTTCGTTTAAAAAAGATGGACTTTTGGCCCTTTATGACCTTATTTACAAAGGATATGCGACAATACCTCGCAATATGGTAATTGATATTCTTATCCAATTAAGTGCAATAGATTCTACACTAATCAAACAAGAAATGTTCGAGAATCCCGATCCAAAGGATTCTAAACCTAAAAGTGAAAAATCAACAATTGTTGATAGAAAACAAATCAAAAAACGATTAACCTTCAAACAGCGAATGGCCCGATTGTTTTTATCTTACAACAAATTTCGACCCAAGAAGAAGCTCCAAATGAAACAGAAATGGAAAGTCACAACTATTCCCGAATCAAGTCAACCAATTATCGATTATCATGAACCAACACCATCATTACCATTACCAATCACATATCCACAATCATCCTCGCCATCATCATCACCATCACCACCACGTCCTTCACCTTCACCAACACGTTCACCAACAAGACAACTTTCGCCATTGTCCTCGCCGATTAAGGTTTTAGCAATTTGTGATTCAAATCAAGTACCAATAGAAAAACCAATTGATATCCAGACAATTGATTTAGCAACACCAGACAGTTCACCTATGAAAACACCTCAGGTAAAATCTCCATCTAATTGTCCAGAATCATCGTCGGAACTTTTGATGGCCTCATCATCACCTTCACCACCATCAACACCACCGCCAATAGAACTGAGAAAGACATTAATTCCACCCTCAATGTTGACTGAATCATCAAAACCTAATGTTTATAAAAGAGCAAGAATGTCAACATCAAGAGGAAGCTACTTGCAGACAATACGAACACTGAAACAAAGAAAACTATTAAAATGATTACGATAACAATATTACTTTTTCTAAATTATGTTCGTCACAAACTGATTTAATTAATTATTCAAGATAGTCTCAAATACAATCCAAAGGTGAGGTGAATGCAGAGTTGAGAAGTGAGAAGAAAATGAAGTTAAAGAAAAAATTTGCGTCCGCTAAAAATGTCATCTCGATTTGATGAGAAAAATTGAACATTGGTGCCTTTAGATGGTCCATTTCGAATTAAAATTGGTGCTAATCCTCGATAATATTCCCTGATACCATATTTACGTAGCTCTTTGAATGCATGGAAAGTGTTGTGAAACTGGTGATTGTATTTGAATCTTGTAACAAGTTTGAACTTCGAAGGGCGTAAGAACGGCTTCCATGCATCCGGCAAGTAGCGCTGAGACTGTTAACTTAAGATTGGGATGAGATGTGAATAGATCGAAATGAGTATCGAGTAGATTTTGGAATTGGCTGAATGTTCCAAACATAAGAGATACACTTGCAGTTTTCTGAAGCAGCGGTGGTAAAAGACCTCGATACAATTGATATAAACCCTCTTTCCTCATTTGAGATAAAGCGTAATTAGTTTTAATTCCACAGGCCATTTGTCATTTATAAAAGAACAAAGAAGTTTAAAAAAGAAAAATTGAGTTTGGAAACCAATAATAGAATTTAATTAAATTCGAGGAACAAAATACATTCAAGATAGAATTTAATATATTAGTTATTATTTAGATTCAACAGAGAAAGGATAATTTCAGCTGATTGAACGATTGTTGGTTCAGCAGATTCACCGATTACTTCAGACAATTAACGATACAATTAGAAAGGAGAGATGGCAACAGGTAAGTGATTGAGGTTCATTGTTTTGATTTGGGGTAAATTCAGCAAAACCTTTTTGAGCAAATTGTTTTTGGGCAAAAACAGAATAGAACATTTTTACTTTTAGATTAAAATAGTTTAATCAACAATGAATTTGACTTTAATTTTGGGTACAGAATTGTGGTTAATCAAGTTCAGAATCAAGTTAAATCCATCGGATTCCGTTGTTAGAATCAAATTGTTCACAAAATTGAATCACAACTAAGTTTTTGTCTTAATTTTTGATATTATTTTCATTTGATTAGCAATTTCTTGTTTTGCTCAAAAAGGTTTTGTTAAAGTAAATTCGCTGGAGTTGAATTGCTAGTTTGAATCTTCACCATTGTTTTGCCTCTTGATTTCAACTCTTTCTGTCCGCCTTGCTTTTGATCGAGGTCGTCTGCACCCTTGACTTTTACGGCACCGGAGGATTCATCCCCACCACTGTTTTTACTTAGTGACTCAAGTCTATTGACTTTACCCATTCCCATTAGACGGCTTTTTAAAACACTTGACTTGTATTGTAAACTTGTACCAATGAAAGCGATCACAAGAATCATAAAGGCTTGGACTAAGTTGAAATTCATATTAACGGATAGATTTTTAACTGAAATAGTGAATTAAAAATACGGTAAACTTGTAAAACTATTCAAGAGAAGCTTAGTAATTTAATGGTTAGAAATGAAAATTTATCCCACTTATATACGAATTCCAATATGAAGTCATTTACGTTTTGTATACACAATAAGTTTCCAATATCACTCAGTTGATTAAATAATGATCTTCAAATTAGTATTAATAATTGTTTCAACAAAAACAGTTATTCAATCAGCTATTTTTCTAGTATTTTGATATTTACTTATGATGACCGGAATTCAGTTACCCAAAAAATTTATTTATTTTTATTTCATTGGCTGACTGTGAATACTGATCTTTAAGTCGATTTCAATATCACTTTCTGAATAATTTGAAATCATCAAGATAAATTGATTAAAGAATTTAAATATGACGATTTATGTTTTTTTACATTTTAATGCTCACTTGTTTAATTGATTACATAAGTTGATTGGTTCGGCAAAAGAATTAGCTTAATATTTTCTAGTTGATTAACTTTTGTTCTTAAAATTTTTACAACCATTACAATCACAAAAGTCTTTTCCAGCTCCGCACCAACCTTGCGAACTGCAACAATAATGAGTCGGCGAATCTGGATCACACTCGGCTTCATAAATTCCGTCTACTTTTGGTGCTTTTGGTCCACAAGCTCCTCCGAGGTTTTCTCCGTCTTCTAATGTCCACCACTTTTTGGGTCCCCATTTGTAGTTGGGATTCTTTCGGAAATCGACACAACCCGAGCAGGTACAATGTTCGGGTGTTGCACCACAATAACCGCCATTGGAACAACAATGATTGTTGTCATCGTCCGGGTTACAAATTGGATATTGTCCATTCAATTTCTCGATCTTTCGTCCACATCTTCCTCTTTTACCATCGGGATCACTTAGAATGTACCATTGAACAGGAACGGAGGGTTTAATTGCTCCTTCTAAAATGATCTTGGGATTTTTACCAAAGTCTTTACAAGAAGGACAATCACAGAAATCGGGTCCAGTTCCACAATAACCAAATTTACCGCAACAACTGTACCCTGGGTCATCAGGGTCACAAACTGGATAATAACCTTTGTAAAGAGGAGCTGATTTACCACAAAGTCCTTCTTTGTCGCTTCCATCTTCGGGTGTCCACCATCTCTTTTCATCGATTGGTGAGCAAACGTGTTTATTGTCATTTGGATCAGTATTTGAACACAACGGAGCTTTACTGACGATATCAAGTAACGTCAGTTCGTCGTCGTCCAAATCAACAGCCCAAACCATCAAACCACCGACATTCTTATCCACAGCATATTTAACTTTCTCTCCTAAGGATTGTTCATTCTCGAAACCTAAGAAGGTCTTTGTACTTGGACTCCAAGCATAAGGTGTTTTCGATTTCTCGTGGAAAGTAACAGTAAATGAAGGATTCGACAAATAATCTGATCCAATTTTATCCCAAGGAACAAAATCTCCTTCGAATTTACCATTGACGGCAGTCGCTGTTCTCCACATTCCATCTTTACCATCAACGGGATCCCCGACATTCTTCCAATACCTTCCATAGAAAGGAACACCCATGTTCAATTTATGAGGAAGTTTCGATTTACAAGTGTAATACTTAACAGTCCAAGCGGTGTTGGTTTTACCAGAGAATCGAGGTGGCATTCCGAAGAAAAGAGGTGCAGGAGGACCAGTATATGCTCCCCATTTAGAAGCCCAAGCACCGAAGTAATCGTAGGTCATGATATTGGCGAAATCGGCATATTTAAGTAGACCAGGTAAATCGAAACCAGGGTCAAGTGTCCATTGTCCAGCAGCACCAGCGAAAGATAATAAATATTTGTCTTTTCTTCCCTTTTCTGATTGTAAGGAATCAAGTAAACCTCTCATTTCTTTCATCAGGGTGACATAATTTTCTTTATCGGATGGAACACCTTCATTGGCACCTCCGGTTACTGGGTATTCCCAATCGATATCGACTCCATCGAATTCCCAAGTCTCGATCATTTTGATAACCGAACTCATGAATGTTTGTCTCATTGAAGGAGAAGAGGCAATGGCACTGAAATATTGAGAATTCTCCCAACCTCCGACTGCGAACATAATCTTAACATGTGGATACATACTTCGAAGTGACATCAAGTGTTCTAATCGTTTTCTCGCCTTTTCAGTTTCTTCTGCAATGTTAGCGCTGTTCTTACGATCTGGTGAACCAATGTTGATGGTTCCATCGGCTGATGTCTCTAAGAAAGCATAAATTACATGAGTTAATTTCTGTAGCATTCGTCCAGTTATTGGTTTCTTTCCCCACGAAGTATAATAACCGATGATTCGTTTACCACAACTTTGAACATTCACTTGGACTGAACCATCACCATTATCTTCAACCCCACCAATAGGCGAATCACTACCATTAGCACCGCCTAAAGTTGCAAGTCCTGCTGCGAGTCCAACCAACGATAAAGCCGATTTGAAGTCATTGTCATCAATACATCCACGACCCAAACCTCTGTCAGCTTGTCTCTTTTTCTTGGTTTTACCCTTCGGTTTTTTCGGTCCCTTTCCTCGCACAATATCATAATCGATTCGTGCAAAAGCAGCAGCCCAAGCATCTTTCTCATCATCAACCAGATTATTTGCCGCTGCACAACGTAAAGGATTCACCGGAGTCCAATTTGTGGCTCCAGCCGCAGCTTCAGCTTCACGACCTTTGAACAGTTCAGTTGCTGTTGAAATCCATGGATTTTTACCTGAATAAAGTTTACCGATTTCCGCTTGAGAAAGCGGAGTGAAAATTTGTTTCCTTCGCGTTTCTCTGTCTTTTTTACCAGCATCACCCGTTGAGATTTGACTATTGTCAGATTTAAAACCAACGACAACAGTGTTATCACTTTCATCTTCGTAACATAACAACTTCCAGAAACACGAGGGAACATCAACTCCACCCAAAGATTTTGATTTGCCGATCGAGGCATCACAAACACCCGTTGCGACAAGTATCCGTTTTCGACCAGCGAAACATCGGACATGAGCTTCGAGGTCTCTCCAACTTCCAACGTTGGTAGTTCTGTCTGCCGGGGCTTCGTTTAAGTACAAATTAGTAGATTGAGCAGCTCTTGGAGACCACAGTGCAACATTAGCCGGAGTCAAATGACCTTTTTGCCAATTGGTACCAGAATAATCGCCATCGTCCGCTTGTTTAGTAGCCAAAGCTGTACATGGGTACTTTTTCCATGAGTGTTCTCGATTCCTGTTCGAATCGAAAATACAGTTGAAATTAGAACATTTTTCATTCTACTTAAAAGATTGTAACTTACTGGAATTTTTTCAAGTCCGAACTTTGTTGGAAGGTAACTGACCAAATTGGTAGTTTACGACTACTATCGAAAAGCACACAATAAGCAACAACGTTCTTTGATGTTCCTCCGATGCTCAATCTCGATTTCGGTGTTTCAAGGACAATTAAAACTTCTTTACCTGCTTTACATGTTTTAAGTGTACATTTTGGCGCTGGATTCCAAACGAGAGTCTTACCCGTTCGAGTGCATGTTACCGAAGGATCGTTCTCATCATATCCAGGTTCGCACTCGAAATTACATTTGGCTGTAGCCTTACGATTGTTGCATTCGCTTGTTGTTGTGTCAATAATGTTATTGACATTTGGTCTTGCACATCCCTCACGTTTACCGTCATCTTCATCGTCACAGTCGTTTCCAGGTCGTTTCCGACCATTAGTTGCTCGTCTCTTACGATTAGTGCGATTGTCGCGTCTTGGACATTGGCTTCCTCTTTGATCTTTGTCTCTATTCTTGTCGTTATTATTATTGTTGTTGTTGTTATTGTCTTTGTCCTTCAATTTTTTGTCCTTAGTGTCACTTTTACCGATGCTTTTCTTGACATCGTTCTTGGCGATTTTGCCTGTATTACCAAGCGCTTTACCAGCAGCACTTAAACCTTTGCCGAGGATTTTGCCTCCAGGAATAACTGTTGTAATAAGATCGAGAGTTGATGATTGAAGTAGATCAGCACCTTTTTCTTTAACCTTGTTCCAATCTCCTTTGATAACGGCACCTCCAAGTTCAACAACATTTTTAACATCGTTAACAACTGGAATCTTCATGAAAGCATCTTTAGCACCCTTAAGATCACCTTTAATTACTTTACCAACGGATTGAACAACACCTTTAGCTGTGTCGACAACAGTGTTGACAGTTTTTTTCACTGTATCAACAATTCCTTGGCCGACTTTCTTGAAAAAGTTACCAATCTTATCGAAAATACCCCGTCGAGACCTTAATGCAACTCCAGTTGTTTTACTTGACGACGAACCTGTTGCTGGATCTCCAGTTCCAAGGAAACACCCATAGAAATCATCAGGTTGGAATAGCGGTAATCGATTCAATGATTCCAAGTTAAACTCTAAAGTTGATGTTCGTTTGTATGTAATCGTTGTATCTGAGGCTTTCACCATCAAAGAATCATCGTCTTCGTAAAACCAACATTGGCCACTATTGGAAGCGTATGAAACGCTGTAGTATCCGCACCAACTTTTGGCGTCATTTTTACAGTAGTTAGCACAAGTCTCCTCGCAATTGCGACAATCTTTCATATTGAACTTGGCTTTGCTGGTATCGAGAGTAACTCCATAGATCGCTGAATAATAAGCTAATGATGAAGATATTTCTGGATGTTTAATCATAGTAATTAACCCCTGATTGGGTGAGTTAATCAGTGTTACTTGGTTAGAACCAACTTTACATTTCTTGGACGATAATGAGTAACTGACTTTAGTAATTTTATCATTCTTACTGATCTCAGCTAAACAATCTTCAAGTTTATCTTTGGTCATTTCATTGTAAACTTCAGTGATTGAACCAGAAGAAACGAAGTCATAATCGGCAAGGAAATCGTTTCGCATCAAGAACGGATGTAAACCCTTGGACTCTTTCGGGTATCTCAACATGTAACGAGTCTGATACGCTTTGGATAAAGTTTCGGGAACAATTTCCTCTGAATAGGCGACGTCACCGTTAACACCAACACCGAAACAATTGGGATTAGATAGACAAGAAACCATTCGAAGAGTTGATACTTCATTCGCTAAATCGAAAGATTTCGTCATTATACTATCTGGACAAGCGATTAAATTGTTGTCAAAAAGTTGGCCTGAATTCTCGGGATAGTAACAAGTTCGACACCCGGTCGCTGAATCACAGCCAAGAGCTCCTGATGTGTAACATTCTTTCGAGAAATAAGCAGAATGAGTTAGATTTTTCATCTTGGTGCAAGAATTTTCTACAGTGGTCTTGGAATTGGCCAGAAGATCTAAATTGTTCTCATCTCGAGTAAATCGCCATGAATTATCGGGATTAGAAGCTGATATGTCGTTCAAATCGAAGGCTGTTAACCAACCATAATTCAGATCAATATAATCGATTGATGAAACATTGGAGTACATTTTACATTGAGTTGTATCAACGTTAAAGGAAACATGTTTACAAGAATCTTCCTTTGAGCAAAGTGTCAAACAATCACGAAAACCTTGGGTCTTTTCAACGATCTTGTCAAAAGTACCAGAAATTGAAGTATGTCGGGAATAATACCAATTCTCGATTACTCCTGAAGGTTGAGTCATGAGAACCGTTTTCCATCCTGGGTCACTTGTAAATAGACCGACAGTTGAATTGAACATATAACATGTAACTGATTCTTTATCATAAGAAAAGGCTAAACAACGAGCGTTTGCTTCACAAGAAGCGAAACAATCTTGAAAATCGACATTCGATGTTGTATTACTTGGAATACGATCAAGAAAGATGTCGGTCAAATAGACCATCGGAAAACTGGGACATAAGTCACACATTCGAATCCCGTCATTTTCACCAACACTTATAATCACCTCTTTTCCTGGATCTAATTGAGTACATTGTAAATTGCTTGGTGCCAATGTAAAGTTACGAGCCTTAAGTAGTAAATATTGGACGAAATTTTCATATGAACCTCCCGTTAATGGTTCAACTTCAGGTGGGAGTTTTCTGATCAAATGAAAAGCACCAAAGGGTCAGCGATCAAAATGTAGTTCGATTTGATTGTTTCACTTACCGATCTGGATTCTCACAGCATTGGAATAAATCTCCATCTTCACATGGTTCAGAACTTAAGAAATCGAAACCAACTGGACAACCTCGAGTTGTCTCGTTTTTAAGTTGACAAGTTGACCACCAGCACTCTCGAGATTCTGGTTTACTTGGTGTATCTGGTGAACCCACACAACAATAATACTCTTTTCCGTCGTCGCATTCGCGTTTATTTTTCTCGGTTCTGTAAAAAACGCAATAGGACGAAGACTTAATCATCAAAGTACCGATTCTAAATTGGATCTAATTTACCGATTATATTGAGCGCAACCAACACTGGCCCAGCTATTTTTTTGACAACCAGTCCACCAACAATCAACTGTAGGTGGAGGTGGAGGTGGAGTTGTTGTAGTTGAAGTTGTAGAAGTCGTTGATTCCCTGTTAATTATCAATAGTTGAAACAATTGATCATTTAAATTATTACATTTTATCTCAACTGTCAATTAATTTGATTGTGTAATTGATGAAACTCATTAGTTACAAAAAAAATCAAAATAATTGCAAAACTATTAATATTTCAGCTTTTTGTCAGTAATTTAAATCATTAATCACTCAGCGTATCTGATTCAAATTTAAATGCAAAAGTTTACAACTTGAATGTTCACAATTAATGTTACGATCAACAATTAAACTTACATATTTGAATTGGACGATTTTGGACAACAATTATATTCTTTGCCGTCCTGACAGTTTCGATTGGTCTTTTCGGTCATGTTATACTGACCGCAACCGACCACAGCCCAGTCGTTTTTCTGACACCCTGTCCACCAACAATCAGATTCAACTGAATTTACTTTACTTTGGTCAGTACTTGCGGTTGAAGGATTACTAGGAATCAATAGAAAGATTAATTTAGTTGTTCCAATAAGTTAATTGTTTCACTAAAGCTCGAAAGTTTGAAAACGATTGAAATTAGATGATCAATATTAAAGCGAATCATTTTCAGTGTTTCTCTGGTATCGTTAATTGTTTCACGATAATTTAAAGTTGATTATCGTAATAGTCGAAATGTGGACTCGTCATTAATTGATCTAATTAAACTTACTTATTGAATTGGATGACCTCGGACAGCAATTGTATTCTTTGCCGTCTTGACAGTTGCGATTGGACTTTTCGGTCATGTTATACTGACCACAACCGACCACAGCCCAGTCGTTTTTCTGACACCCTGTCCACCAACAACCCGAATCATTTTCAACTGATTTCATTGCGACACTTTGGTCAGTACCAGCGGTTGATGGATTACTGGGAATCAGGAGGAAGGTTAAATTAGTTAATCCAATAAGTAAATTATTCAACATATTTAATAGAAGCATTTTCGACGATAATTGATTTCTCTCTCATCTCCTATTGTTTTACCATAATTTGGATATACAATTGTACTTATGGTTGTCAATGTGATAATCAAAAAAGGATTTATCATTAATTGTCCCAATGAATTAATCATTTCCTTCGTAATCCTAAATTGTGCAATTTGTAATTTATCACAAACATCATTTTATTAAATCACCTTGAAGATTAACATCCTTTACATTGCTGATTTTCAGGGCTTTTAGTTTATTTACCAATAACATCATTAGTTAATTGTCACCGATTAATTTATGATCTATTATACTTATTTTCATCTTTGATACGATGAAACAATTCAGTTAATTTACTTGACATTGTTTATCGTTTTCTACTGATTATTTCATAGTTCTCATAAAATACCAACCATTAATAGCAATTAAATTGAAGAAATTGATTGATAAAATTTCACTCACTTTGATGTCCGAGCAACTGAGGATTTTGAAACTGGCTTGAATGCTCCTGATCTGGATCTCGACATGGGCTGAGCTGTGGGTTGAGATGTTGGTTGAGGGGTCGGGGGAGCGGTAGATGTGACCATTGGCTCTGACTTAGGAGCTTTTGTTGGTTCATTTGCACTTACTATTGGTTGAGCTGTAGGTTTCATTGTAGACTGAGGTGGTGGTTGAACTGTAGACGTGACCATTGGCTTAGTAGCTTTTGTTGCCGTTTCGGTCATTTCTGCATCTTCGTCAGTGTCTTTATCTGTATCTGTATCTTTGTCAGAATCTTTATCCATATCTATGTCTGTATCGGTATCCTTAGGTGACATCGAAGCGGGACAACAATGGTAGTTTGTACCATCTTCACCGCAATCCCTGGTTTCGATCTGAAACATGTTCGAGGTTGAACAGTCGATCGCATCATCAGCATCTTCATCTTGACAACCAGTCCAAATACAACCATCACTCGATACACCATTTGTTGAGTCAACCGCTTTATTAATTAATCATCACAATTGAGAATGGAAAAGGTTTTATTAATATTGATAGTTTTACATGGTAAAAACAATTGAGAAACAATCAAACAATATTAATCGATGGAGAAAAATTGAAAACAAGTTGATCAACAAATCACCTGAACTACATAATAACAAGATCATTAACCTAAGGTTATTTACTAAAAGCCAATGGTCAAGGTTAAGGTCAGTCCCCGCTCATGATAATTACCTTTACCTTGATAATAAATTATCTAGTTGTTTACCAGTTTTCACTTTGATTTCGCAATTTTAACTTGTTATGAAATCAGTTTGATTGTTGACATGATAAAATGAAGCAAAAATTAACAACAAATTTAGTTGATTGTTTCAAATAAAGTTCAGTGAATGATTTTGATGATTAAACTATAACTATGATTGATATTAATAAATTCATTTTTTACCATTAATATTAAAATTTATCGATAAATTGTTTTGTCATTTCAATCAATTGTTCTGAAAACTGAACAATTAAAACTTAATTTTCCTCAATCGTAGTAACTTTTATCGGTCTCAATTTAGCATCAAATTGTTGCTCCAAAATTAGATTATCAATTATTTCAATCAAACTCGAACTCGTATTTAAATGTTCAACTGATTATCGAGAGTTATGATTACAATGAGAACGTACAAACAATTTAATTATTCATAAGAAATCAAATTGAATCAAATCTCAATGACCAATATTTACTTTTCGAGAATCAGCAAAGTTTAAATTGTTTATGATTCGTTAATCAGTCTGATTTATTAATGAAATGAGAAAATCGTTCAATTAAGTTACGATTGTTAATAATTTCTGATTATTCGATTACAATTAAAAAGGTTCAATCGACTTACCTTGAAATTGTAACAGGAAACATTGAGATACAATCAACAAAAGCCAGAGATTTGATCCATTCCGACTTAATTGTATCATTTTGATTTTAAATTATAATTAACTTTAGATTAACTTAATATAAACGTTGACCCATAATCAGCATCAATCTAGTAAAACTATTATATTAAACAGATAGAAAACAATTTAATTGCTAAAGATGAATCAAGTGAAGTGATTAAAATTTCGGTCGATTAAGTTGAGCTGAAATTACAGCTCTTAATGAACAATTTACTAATGAAAAATCAATGATCAGCCAAAGTGTTTTTATACCAACAATTAGGTTTCTGATCATTTAAACTGAGCATGATTACATTTGTTAAAATACAAGTTGATTGTCGATGTAATTAACTAAACCGGTTCATCGGTTCATCGGAAAATGACGCGAATCAAATTAAAGTGTCCAAGAAAAAGTTAATCAAATCACTTAAATGACCCAATGTTGGTCAATCAAAGTGAAATTTGATAATCACTAGAAATCTGGAGATTGAGCAAATTGTCAGGATCAATCCTGTTAATTATCACAATCAACTTTCGATACATAATGAAGTTTATCAATTTATATATATTATTTGTTAATATATTCAAATGTTGCATGTTTTTTGGTTGATTAGGTTTTGCAATTTTTAACTGTATCGGGTGTTTTTTTACAATTCAGGGAATTTACATAATAATTATAATGATAATGATACAGGGTAATAATATTATTTTGTGTTGAACAAAAAATTAAATTGTATTAATAATTTGAACTTGCGATTAAATTTAATTTCAACGGGACATTAATTTGTATTTTGCTTTTTTCACGGCTGATACTCTATATTTTTATATATCTAAACTGGTTTAGTTAATTATCTAAGATAATCTCATTATAATCCACTGGTGGGGTAGATAGAGAGGTGGCAAAGATGATGAGGAAGAGGAAGCAGAAGAAGATGAAACCAAATAAAGAAAAGATTTGTGATTTATATTGATGAAGAATCAGTGTCATTGGATAAAAATGTCATCTCAGTTTGGTGAGGAAAACGTTTGATACTCGATGGTGTTAACAGTACATTAGTTTCCTGAGCATCTCATAAGAAGCATTAATTATTCCCCATGAGATGAAAGATCTGGTGAAATTAAGGTGAGCACCATAATAGATTTTGGTTATACTTCGTTGTCTCTCTTCGTAAACTAACTTTATGGCACTGGAAATTGTTAAGAATTTACTTCCACCGGTTTGGGTTTGCACTTTTGTTTTGATCACATTAACGGGATAGAAAAGGGTACTAATCAAGGCACCGATTAGAGCGCCGGATATAAAATTTGTGACCAGTTCGGACCACCAACCATCGGGCGAGGGAAGAACGTCTTTCACTTTCCCTCGGAAACTGAAAAATAGAACATTAGATGGTCCATTTCGAATTAAAATTGGTGCTAATCCTCGATAATATTCCCTGATACCATATTTACGTAGCTCTTTGAATGCATGGAAAGTGTTGTGAAACTGGTGATTGTATTTGTAATCTTGTAACAAGGTTTGAACTCTCTCGAAGGGCGTAAGAACGGCTTCCGTGCATCCGGCAAGTAGCGCTGAGACTGTTAACTTAAGATTGGGATGAGATGTGAATAGATCGAAATGAGTATCGAGTAGATTTTGGAATTGGCTGAATGTTCCAAACATAAGAGATACACTTGCAGTTTTCTGAAGCAGCGGTGGTAAAAGACCTCGATACAATTGATATAAACCCTCTTTCCTCATTTGAGATAAAGCGTAATTAGTTTTAATTCCATAGGCCATTTGACGAAACATCACCTTGTTGATCGGAAAAGTGAAACAAATATTGATAAAAGCTGCACCATAACCACAAACAAATTCCCGATAATCCTTCTGATCGTCAATTAAACCATCAAGAGGTTGACTACTTTGTTTATCATTATTGTAGGAAGAAGACAAGGTTCTAATGATGCTGGTCTGTTGTTGTTCATTCTGAATTTGTTGATTTGATGATGTTTTCAGTTCCAATTCCATAATAAACAATATTCAAACCAGAATATAAGAAGAAGAGACAAAGTAAGAGAATATTGAAACCAGAAACTATTGACTTATGAATTTTGGTCTTGTTATACTATGAATAATAAGAAATCAACAGGTTAAAGACCATCCAGGAGATTCAGCAGGTCAACTATCAGGTCCATACCAGGCGAATGAAGATCAAATTAACATCGGACGACCAAAAGAAAGGATGAAACGACTATTTGATTAAGTGGTTAGTAAAGAAGAAAAAGCAATCAGAATGTTTACGTTTTGTACAACAGAGAAAAAGGAAAATATAGAAAGAAAAAGAGAAAGAGAAAAGAGAAAGGCCAAACAGGAAGAAAGGAAAAGAGAAAAAGAAAAACAAGAATCAAAGTGAATCAAATTAACCAAAATTGATGGACACACATTTAAAATGAACACAATTACAATTCAGTTGGTAATTGACACCAACAAATCATGAAAAGTTGACCTCATGATTTGATTGAAGAAACAAGAGAGAGACTAGTAAATGTTGATTCTCTTCAACTGGACAAGGTTGTTGATTAGCTGAAGTAAAGGTTGTGACACAGAATCACTACTCCATCAGCTGGTCCATAAATAGATCACAATCATGATATAAAAAGGAAGAGAAAAGAATAATTAATATTTACAATTAAGAAAAGAAAAAAAAAGAGAAAAGACCAAACCACCAACAAGGAAAAGACAAGAAGGTTTAATAGAGAAAAGGTAATTTCAAGGAGACTTTTTCTCTTCTATTGGATCTGCGTAGGACTTTAATTCTTTTTCTATTTTGACAATAACCTTCTTTCTCTTTTCTCTTTTCCTTCAGTTTCGTTTTTCTACTCACCTGATTTTCGGTTCTTTTTGTTTATTTGTTTATTTTCCTTTTTCTCTTTTATTGTAAATGTTCATTTTTTAATTTCTTTTCTTTAATTTGGTTCACTAGATGAAGTATTTCAACTGTTGTTAAACGATTGGTGGTTCAGTGAGATTGTCAAGATGAACATCAGCATAACCGATATTTGTGAAAACACTAAAATGGGAAGAGAATTTGCTCTTCTTGGTAATTACGAGACTTCACTGGTCTATTACCAGGGTGTTGTTCAGCAGATTCACCGATTACTTCAGACAATTAACGATCCAATTAGAAAGGAGAGATGGCAAGAGGTAAGTGATTAATGTTTAATTGTTGGTGTTAATTTTCTCTCTTCTCCCTTCATCTGTTGTTTCCACTGTTGAGCAGATTCTATGGTTACTCATTTCTATCAATTAAAAGGTTCTCTTATTGTTGGTAGAATTTACTTTTTCTTCTTCATTTTCTCAGCTATCACATCTGATAACATGGACTTTTAAGTGACATTTTTTTTTCTATGTTTCTAATCCTTTTCTATTTCTCTATCTCTCATTTTCTAGATCCAACAAAAGATTGCAGATGAATATGGTTATGTTAAGGATATTCAAAGCCTTTTGCTTGGATTTCGAGGTAATCTTTGGTTGATTCGATTCGCTTTCCCCACTCACTTCTATCATAATTGATGAACATTTTTAGCTTAATTTCATTTAAATATCAAGGTTTATTGATTTATGATTGCCAACGTAACAAGATGATGAATTGTAAAAGCACATCTAACATTTAGACTTGTCTTGACAATTTCAACATCTTTATCTCCATTCATATCGTGTTTCTGACATTTATTCATACGTTGATTATTTATTAACATTCATCTATTTATCTTGATTTTTCAATTCTTCTCAACTTTAGGTGATCATCATAATAATCGTGTTGTTGGTCCAAACCGTCAACCATCACCAGCCTTTACTCTACCTGACCTTGATCTAAATTCTGATCCTAATATTTTCTGGCCTTCAAGTAGCAATAACAACTCACCAAGAGATGCTGATGTTTGGGCTCCACCTCCTGATCCCAAGCCTAATTCAAATGCAAGAAATTCACGAGCATCTAAAAGTACCTCAAGCAAAATAACCTCATCATCAGCTCGAACACCGACCAATAAAACTATATCCGCCAAGAAGACAAACGATGGCAGAAGTACTAGTAAAACATCAAACAGCTACAACAGTTGTTCCCAAGGAACCGGAGATAGTGGAGCCAGGAAGAAAGGTTCATCTACGAGTAAAGATGAAGCCGAAGGTGAAAAGAAATTTGAGATTCATGGACCAGACGCTGAGCTGGTTGATATGTTAGAACGTGACATACTTCAGAAAAACCCGAATATCAAGTGGGATGATATCGCTGATTTACACGATGCCAAAAGGTTACTCGAAGAAGCTGTCGTTTTACCCATGTTACTACCCGATTTCTTCAAAGGGATTCGACGCCCATGGAAAGGTGTCTTAATGGTTGGCCCACCAGGAACGGGTAAAACAATGTTGGCGAAAGCAGTGGCCACCGAATGTGGAACCACTTTCTTTAACGTGTCATCTTCAACATTAACTTCAAAGTATCGAGGTGAATCAGAAAAACTGGTTCGAATATTATTCGAAATGGCCCGTTTCTATGCTCCAAGTACCATATTCGTCGATGAGATTGATTCCCTTTGTTCAAGAAGAGGATCTGATACCGAACATGAAGCATCTCGACGAGTTAAATCCGAATTACTCATCCAAATGGACGGTATAACGAACAATGAAGATCCAGCAAAAGTAGTTATGGTTCTTGCGGCGACAAATTTCCCTTGGGACATTGATGAGGCCTTACGTCGACGTTTAGAGAAACGTATTTACATTCCGTTACCAAATAAGAAAGGCCGTGAGGCCTTACTGGCAATAAATTTAAGGGACGTTGAAAAAGCTCCCGATTTAAATATAAGTGATATAGCTGAACAATTAGATGGTTATTCTGGAGCTGATATAACCAACGTTTGTCGTGATGCCTGTATGATGGCGATGAGACGAAAAATCGCCGGCCTTACTCCTGAACAGATTCGTGCTCTATCAAAAAGTGAACTCGAACTGCCCGTCAGCCCAGAAGATTTTTTCGAAGCCGTGAGAAAGGTAAACAAATCAGTCTCCGAGGAAGACCTTTTGAGATACGATAAATGGATGGCTGAGTTTGGATCAACATAATCAATGAATCACGGAAAACACAATCAAATTAAAACGAATCAAAACGCTAAAATGATCACCAATTCTCCCTCCAATCAACAATCACAATCAACTGTAATTTTTCATTGTTCACCGTTCATTTAATCGCAATCTCGCCAATCTTTACAAACGCAATTATTTTAGTCATTCCAATTACCCCTTTCTTTTAATTACTCCAATTGTTGATTTTAATCAGTTTCAATTTCAATTTGAAATCCTTGAAAAAAAAAGTATTTATCATTTATGATATTTATGTATGACGATAATTAATTGTTGTAGGAGATACTTTATCACTAAATTGTGACTTAATTCCAGTTACAATGTAAATAAAATTATTACAATCAAAAAACAATATGATCAAACAATCAATTTGTATCAATAATGTTAATCACCTTAATTATGAACGATGAAAAAAAAAATGATGATAACTAATTACAAGGTTTAATTGTAGAAGAAAAAAATTTGCGTAGGTAATTAGATAATTAACCTTGTTGAGAATTAATTGTCCTCGGTAATCAGAAAAACGTAATCAAACTGATTAACAAAAATGAAACAGAAAATTTGTTACAATCAAAATACAATAAGAAAATTAAATTAAATTAATCTGAATGATCAATTCAAATGAAAATCAGTCAATCTAGAAAAGTTAAAAATCAATTGATCAGTTAAATGTGATGGACCAATTAAAAGTACAATCAACTAATTGTTGAAACAATTAAAAAAGTCTCACAATTAAACTAAACAGAGAATATGAATTATCAAGGTTACGCAATAATCGGCAAAGTTAATTATCACCGATTGAAACTCTCACACACCCAAACAATTAACAAATTTGTGAATGGAAACAAAAAGTTGTAATTAAAGTTATTACTCTTTGGTAGAAATTAAATTTAATTATTGGAAAATTGATCCAAACAATTGAGATCAGAATTCAAAGTATCAATTGCAAAGTGTCTCTCAAGTGTGGAAACATGTGAATCAGCATCTTCCACCTTCACCATCACCATCATCACCACTCTCTCATCATCATCATCATCATCCAACATCGGAAGACATCATAACCACACCACTTGTCTTTCTTTTTCCTCTGTCTACATTTTTTTCGGTTCCTCTTTTGTTTTTCTCTGTCTATTTTTCTCTCTCCCATTGACTCGCTCTCTTTTTCAGTTGTGTTACTCATCTAGTATTTTCTTTAGAATCGCTTTTCAGTTTTCGCTTTCACGATTGATTACATGTTGGAGTTTAAAAATGACCTTGATTCATTAGTGTCCATCGGCTAATTTTCTGTGTGTGTGAGAGAGAAAGACTTTAATTGTGTTTGTGTCATCCGGCAATTTAAATTCTCTTTATTAGAATAATTTATTTCTCCCTTTCCATTTGCTCTAAGAGGTTAACCCTTGACTCTTATTTTCCCACTCATTTTTTGTTTGTCTGTTAATTTGTTGTTTCTTGTGTTCGGACAATGGATTCTGCTACTGGTCAAGCCACAATTCAACAATCAAGTCACATTTCACCAAATTATTCTTACATTTTCCAATTCGAAGAGTCATTTGAATACCAAAAGAAACGAGAATGGATGCAAGAACATTGGCATGAAGCCTTTTACTATGTTGCTGTTTACATGCTTCTGGTTTTCGGTGGTCAAGCTTACATGTCCAGTCGAGAACCTTTCAAGCTTAGGAGAGTCTTAACCCTTTGGAATATCGTTTTGGCTTCTTTCTCAATTGTTGGAACCATTAGGTGTGTATCGCCATTTTCCATTTGAGCCCAGTCAATCCTTTTCTTTCTATTCTTTTGTTCTTATTCTCCCACCGGTTCCAATTGATCATCACAAATCCGGTGTTTTCTATTCTCTTTCTTTTTCTCTGTCTTCTTCTCTTTGTCTCTCCCTCTCTTTTTTTTCTCCTTTTTCTCTAATTTGGTTTACTCTTTCTACCCAAACATATCCTTCATTCTGGTGAGAATCATTAACAGACCCATTCACCCATTAACAAGAATTCATCTTCACCAGTTTGTAGAATTAGATGAGAAAATGGAAATTCTTTTCAGACATTTTATTCTTTCGTCTGGTTAGTTTTTCTCTTAACCAAACTTTCAATTGAAAGAAAAAGATCAAATTGTTATTAGTTTTCTATTCTTTCCATTCTCTATCGAAATCTCTCATTCTCAGTACTCATTGAATTTCCATTGATACTATCTAATCTTATGGAGACTTGATTATCCAGTAGAATTTGTTATTTTCCGTCACTGTGATTTTCGTTGATCAGTTTTTTCCTCGCTTCTTATTAGCGTTAAAATCTTATTCCCCCAGAATTAAAGTCTAATAAGATAAATTGTGAATAGTAACTAAATATAACCACTTTTCTTTTTTTCTCTCTTTTTTTGCTTCTTGTTGTTCCCATTTTTACTGTGAATTTTTGAGCTCAATGATTTTCTATTCTAATGTTTCCATGTTTTTATCTTTCTCTTTTTCAGAACTTTGCCTGAAATGTTTCATGTTTTTCACAACTTCGGCTTCTACCATACAGTTTGCAATCCAAGTTACATTGAAGTGACTCGAGTCTCTGGCTTTTGGACTTGGATGTTTACCTTATCCAAAGTTCCCGAACTCGGTGATACTATTTTCATTGTTCTTAGAAAACAGAATTTAATCTTCCTCCATTGGTATCATCATATAACTGTACTGTTATTCACATGGTACAGTTATGGACAACACATTTCCCCTGCTCGTTGGTACATTTGTATGAACTATTTGGTCCATTCGATTATGTACTCTTATTATGCTGCCCGAGCTCTTGGTTTCCGAGTTCCAAAACAATTAGCCATGATTATCACAAGCTCTCAGATAATTCAAATGGTTGTCGGTTGCTATGTAACCTATTATGGTTATGCTAAAGCTCAACAAGGTGTCTTCTGTCAAATACCCGAAGGAACCGCTAAATTAGGACTAATCATGTACGGCAGTTATTTTGTGCTTTTCGCCAATTTCTTCGTAAACTCATACACCAAACAACCTGTTTCCAAAGGATCCAGAATATCGTCATCATCTTCATCATCATGCATCGAATCAAAAGCCAAAGCAAAAACTCACTGATCAACTCGATAAGATTAAACAAAAAAAAAGAGAAAAAAAAATCAATCAAATTAAAACCAATTCTAATCTCAACCCTTTTTTTGCTAATCATTCGTGGTGATGAAATCATTTCACAATAAAAGGGAAAGTCTCAAGTCCAACATGAGATAAAAACTTTTATCGGAGTAATTGAGTAATTCAGATGAAATCCAATTGAATCTAATTAACTAATTATCTCGCTACGAGCTGCCATCTCTCGATTCATTTGTTTACTTGTTTCTCTCTCAATCAGTGAACATTATAATTAAGATTGTTAATTTAATTATCTGATGGTAATTCAATTTCAAATTACGACTTATTGTTTATATGTTTTCCATTTAAATAATACATCGATCTTTTTTGTTTTATTGTCATTATTACAGCAAAAGCATCTGATTGTAATTAATCATAACAGGCAAAGGAAAAAAAGACATAGAATACAAATTAACGAGGCTTTTAGAAAATAAAATGAAAGAAAAAAAAAGAGAAATCAAATAGGAAGAAAAAGTGATGATGGTAAATTAATAAGATGAAGGTGGTGGTTTTGCTGGTGGAAGAGGAGGAAAAGGAGGAAAAGGAGGAAAAGGAAAAGGATAAGCGTAGAACAGAATGAATTTAGAGGTGCAATTTTCTTCCATATGATTAAGATGAACATTAATCCTTGACCTGGAATCAACAGAATGACGTAGATTATAAATGAAAGGGTATTCATCACCGATCGTGGTAAATATGTGTGTATGTATGTGTGTGTGTAATATTTGTTGTGGTGGTTGTTTCATGTTATTTTTCAAGATATTATATAATCTTCAACAACAGTTTCCACTTGAATTTGAGTTACCTCCACTTAAAGGTACATTGGGATTTGATGGTGAATGTTGAGGTCCAACTTTGATTCCATTAGATTCATTATTGATATCAAAAACACCCTCTTGAATTTTTTCGTAAATCTCCTTAGCAGTATTGATGAAAGCTTCCTCTACATTAGCTGCAGTCTTGGCCGATGTTTCCATAAATATGAGCCCATGTTCACGGGCAAAGTTTTCACCTTCCTCTTTTTTAACCTCACGACGTGATTCAAGATCACTTTTATTACCAATTAACATTATCACCATATTGGAATTGGAATGTTGTCGAGCATCTTCAAGCCAAGTAGTTAAATGGTTAAAAGTATCACGACGAGTGATATCATAGACCAATAAAGCACCAGCAGCTCCTCTGTAATAAGAACGAGTAATTGATCTGAAAGCTTCTTGACCAGCGGTATCCCATATTTGTAGTTTGATCTGTTTACCATCAATAGGTATCATACGAGCACCAAATTCAACGCCAATGGTTAAATCGTGAACAGGTTGAAATCTTTTATCTGTAAACTGTAACAGTAAACATGATTTACCAACTCCAGTATCACCAATGATGATATATTTAAAAAGAAACGCATAAGACATAATTTTCAAATTTCTCTTACACTTCTCTCTCTCTCGTTTCTTTCCTTTCTCTCTTAATCTCTTTACAGAAACAAACAAAAGACACTTTTAATAGTCCACAAAAATGATCTTATTGAAAGAAAATGAAACAATTAGAAAATGAATTACAAAGAGAGTAAACAAAACACAAAAACAAAATGGCTGGTGGTTTATGATGATGATTTGGCTTATGTTGACAAATAGAAAGGGAAAGTTTTTCGCTTTCAATTTTACTCTCAAAATGAGAAAAGAAAGAGACTCACAGTTACAGAATCGAAAACTAGATGTCACTTTGATGGAAATTTTATTCTCTTTCATCAAGATGAATTTCTGTTTCTTTTTATTGAAAGAAAGAAGAGAAAGGAAAAGAAAGGAGAAAAAGAAAGGAAACTCTTTCTTTTTCTCTGTCGTCTTTCGAATTCACATGTAGTGACATCTATTCTTCATTTTTTCTACTAGAAAAAGAACATTACTACTCAGTGGCTTTTCTTGCTTGTTCTTTTGTGCGGTTGCTCAGGCACTTGATCGAAAAAAGCTCATGCGTGTCCACCTTTTGATAGCATTTCTATCAACTCAATCAGTTGAGAACTTGATTATTATTATTATTTTCTTGTTTACAATTTGATAATTATTTTATCTTCTTCTTATTGTTGTTGTTTTATTAATAGAAGATTCGCCTGTTAAACCATCAAATTCTTTAATTGTTACCATGTTTTTATAGATTATTGTGTTTAGATTGATGGGTTAATCTTTTTACTCTTCTTCTAATTTTTTGTTTGTTATTTTGTTTGTTTACCAAATGGAAACTGATATTAGATTTGTCCAATCTTATTATCGCCGTTCAACTTTGTACAGTTTCCTTAATTTCTGTCCCGGTTCATTTGTATAATTCAATTTTCTATTTCTATATTGATGCTTCAATTAATTGCTGTTTGTTCAGCTTCTCAGGTAGGTGACATGTTTTGATTGTTTCTTTTGTTTCTCTCCTCTTTGATGAGAAAAATATTAATCATGTTGGTTATTTATTCATATCATGTTTACTTTGAGAGTCACCAAAGTCTCGGAGATTTTAGAGAACTAGAATTCTTGATGAGAGTAAGATAGATGAAGATGAGCATTAGAAGAAGAGTCACAATTGCAGATCGAAGAGTTAAATTAATGAAGATCAATCTGAAAAGTAAAAAATAGATTTGTTTGATTACAGCGATCAGTTGATTTTCTTTTTATTTCCATTATTCTTTTTTGATGAATTTAACCCTTTTCATTTGATTCTTTTTAATTTTAGAAACCGTCTTGAATTTAGATTCATATGGAATCCAAAATGTATTCAAAGTGATCATCTCAGAAAAGTGAACTATTGTTGACCTCACAAACGCACATAACTAAAGACAATTATAATAATCAAGTTATATCAACGTTAACTGTTTTTGCCAAAATAATTAAGCCAAAGACGACGATGAATAGTCAACCTAGTAATGCATATCACATGGATGGTAGATTTAATGGTTCCCATAACAATGGTTTTTATGGAATTGGTTCATCAGGATCTCAGCGTTTCTATCAGCCTGGATTAGCGCCAGGAGTTCCGGTTACATCAGGAATCTCAACCACTCCCTCATGTAATATGGTTTATAAATTATCTCCTCAAGAAGAAGTTAAGAAACGTCTCGTCCAAGGTCACCTATCTTACCTCAATAGGGATGAAACTCCAGAGAAATTGGCTCACAAAACCAAATTGGAATCTTTAATTTTAGAATATTTATCAATGGTTCCCCATTGTAACAAGTTCGATAACATTGAGGTAGCCGAATGTTTTGACAAAAGCATTTATGAGAATAAAAATTTCACCGCACCTCGAGCTGCATCGGCTTTCGAGGTACTCGAAAAGTATGCCACAAGCCTCTTAACGAAACCTTGGAGGAAAGAATTTCGAACAATCTTACCTTATGGTGGTTACATGAAAGGTTTGGTCGATAAACAACTTCGAGGAGCTTCAAAAATTTTGTACCTAATGGGTTATCGAAATAAGAGTATTAATGGTGTTGTCTGTTATTCTGCTGAATCTTCCATCATCGATCCAGATACTTTAGCCCGAGTATCATTAGATTGTCTAATTGCCTTTGTTGAGTGTCAAATGATGATCGAAATAGCTGATACATTGAAAAGAAAAATATTTCTCTCAGTTGGCTTCAAATTTTAGACATTCGAGCCAATTCAATATGTTCAATGGATCAGCTGATCAACTATGTCCTTGATTCGGATAGATTAATTGATCTGGAAACCGATCCTTCATTAAGCCTTCATTCTTCCAAATATGGTAAACAATCCCATCCAATTGGACAGAACAAAAGATTACCTGGACAAGTTCAATCTCCACAATATCATCAAAATGGTTGTCCAGTTCTCCGAGAGAATCGACGGACAAACGATCTTCCCCCACCCAAAGAAATTATTAATCATCAAAATTTGGATAATTCTCGTTCTCGTGATCTAATGAATTTCACTGTAGAAAATGAATCACGAAATCCAAATGTAATCTATCACGGCATTCATACGCCTACTGGTTATATCGCTCCTCCACCCATGTTTGCTAGTGAATTTTCAAATTCTTATGCAGCTAATCATCAAACTTTCAATTCAAACAATTACCCACCTTATCTTCATCATCACCATCAACAAAATCAACAACAACAACAACCTGTTTCATCCTCCACTCCTTTACAATCCATAGCAACTAATAATAAATCTAATCACAATCACAATGATTCAGGTTTGAACAAAAATAGTGTAGACACAATTGACGGAACTTTATCAACTTTGAACATTAAGTCAAGCGGATCGAGACTTAAAAACGTTGACCGTCGTACACCAACATCTACAACTTCACGAACACCATGTTCATCATCAACGGTTATTTCGAGTCATGGTACGAGCCGATCTGATGAATCAAATCAACTGTCTGATTGTAATTTGACTAATAATAATTCATCTCATGTTACCAATAATACTACAAATAATAACAACGCTGCCAATAAAAGATTGGAAGATCGTATCAATGCAATTCTCAAAAGCTTTTCAGATGAAGATAAATCAAGAAAATCAGTCCCACCTAATCCCGAGCCAAAAGAACGTAAATCAATTGAAAGATTACCAGAGAGAAAACCTGAATCTATGCTGAATCAACATCGAATTAACAAAAATCGTGATAAAAGTCATGATCGATCTGCTGGAATTACCAAAAGTAATCAAAGCGATAAAAATGGTTGGCCTTGTGCTTATTGTACCTTTTTGAACACCAATCAAACCGAGATTTGTGATATGTGTTCCCGAAGTCGAGATAAACCTGAGGCCAATCTACTCAGCGGTGGGAGAGTTTGTCCAGTTTGTACTCTTGTTAATTCAAAAGATGCAACCAGTTGTAGTGCTTGTGAACATAGTTTACTAAATTCACCCACTTACATTTGAATCAATTCCAAGGAGCTTATTATTATTACGCTTATCAACTTACATTGTTAAATTTTTCTCTTTTTCCTTTTCCCTATTTCTTTCTCTCTCTATTTACACCCTGAAGTTGGTTGCTAATTGTTCACCATCAGCATTATCCACCTTCATCGTTGGCACCATGCACCAAAAGCATGCAGATGAACACGCAAACATTATTATCATCACGTCTGCAAATGTTATACATCAATCTACTCACACTCATGAGATGAATCATCTAATATTTCTGCTGTTTTCAATGATCGACAATTGAAAATAGATCCAATCACCGATGCTTTTTATTAATCAATTAAAATTGAATCTATACACTCACATAAACTGTTAATGGTTGCTCAAAATTATCAATACGAATGAAAACAAAAACGTTAAAATTTTATTAATTGTTAATGATTTTGAATCGAGAGAAGAAAACAAAAGTAACTAATGACAAAATCCATTCAAATTATTGATACAACAATTAACCAACTTCTGTTTTTTTTTAGATAATTAAGTCACTAAATTAAAATTAACTACAATTAACATGCCTTATAAGTTAATTGGAAAATTATTGAGAAACTATAAACTAAATTGTCTCAATTCATTTAACTCAAAAATGATCAACCAAATTCATTATTACCGCTCAAACAAACAGCTGATTCTTGGATCAATTTGTTTATGTTTACATTTGATTCATAAAAACAACAATTGAAATTCAATCATTGAATCAATTGCGATGTCTGATTATGTTGGTGTTGCAACTAAATTAAAACTCAAAGGAGAGAAAAGGTAAGTTAATTTGTTTCATTCATTTAATTTGAAGGTGAAATTAATCAATTGATTCTTTTGTCTATTGTTTTTCATTTATTTCGCATGGAAAACCAGGAAAAAGAAAAATAAAAACAAAGAAAAGCGTTTGAAAGGTGAACCTGAAACCGAACGGAATAATGAAGATACCATCAAACATGGTAAATTTGATTCTTGCAATTTATTTAATTGTTCCCATGTTTCTAATTCTTTACAATAAATTCTTTGTTTTTTTCTTATTATATTAGGTGGTTGGGTTTATCTGAAAGATCTCGGAGCCATAACAGGAACCACCGCCATTGAAGTGTTACCTTATTGTTATATGAAAGCTTTGGACAATGGGCTGATCGCTGTCGGAGAACCTCACCCGCCGGGTGAATCACCTTATCAGGAGGAAATTTTCACCACAATCAGAATTTCAGAAACTCATCGAGCGTTCAAGTCTGGTTATGGTAAATACTTAAGTTTGGATGGTAATAATCGTTTAGTTGGCCGATCGGATGCTATTGGACAACGGGAACAATTTGAACCAGTTTTCCAAGAAGATAAAACTGCCATTGTTGGTGCTAACGGATGTTTCCTTTCTCCTGATGATTCGGGTTACATTGTTGCCAAGAGTCAGAAAGCGGGTCCAAATGAGTTTGTAAAGATACGTTCAAATTTAGATCCAGAAGCAGCGAAAAAAGAAGCTGAAGAATCCAAAATTCCCGATGAAGAGAAAGGATCACTCGATGATTGTGAAGAAAAGTACATTAAGAAATTTATCACCGGAAAAATGAGCAAGAATCTTGATAAAGGAGGTAAATTGCTGAAATCGGCTAAAAATGAGGGTAAATTACATGAAACACTTCTTGATCGTAGGGAGAAGGTCAAGTCTGACAAGTTTTGTAAATAGTCAACGACATTTCATGAAGAACCACAACAAACAATTGATCATCTTCGCAAAAATTAAACACTCATCTTACTAATTCACTATTATCCTGAATTTTCCTGATTCTCTTCATTCAAATTGTGATGATGAATCCATTCTAACATGTCATTTCTACTCTCGATTTGTTTTCGACCAACGAAACATTTTGCGTCAACTATTTGGTTGTTAAAAAGTTCGGAATCGCCATTACATAAGTGAAAACAAAAGCAGCTAAATTGGGCACAATATCAGGTGTCAGCAAGTAGATTCCCATGAATTTGATTCCTGATGAATTTTTATCAATCAATTCCATGAAAAGTAAAGCCTAAGGGAAAGAAGAGAAAAGTTGAAATGAGTATTTAAAAATTTTCGAATGTAAATCAATCGATTTTCTCACTTCTGATTTATAACTGTCACTTCTTTCGATTAAAGTTGATTGATAAATATCGTCACGAACACGACCAGGGTGCGAATAGAAGCCGATCAAATGAATAGAAAAGAAAACGAAAAAATTGAAATTCTGCAAAAGAATTACAAAGTAAACAACTTGACTCGAAATCGTGAGATCAACATAGGCCAGATTATAGAGAATCACGATAGAACTTGGTACGACCACTAAACAAGACATTGTCACGAAACGTCTGTAGGCCAAGTCACATAATTCACCACAACGAACTAGCTGAAAGTGTTCATAACGAAGTCGATAAAGAGTCGAGTCGGGAACGTGAGGTGATTCAATTATCATTTTCATCTGATTGTTAACATGTTGATGTCCGATCTTAATGAAGTTATGGGCGATAAAAAATCCTCGTAGTAAATTGAAGGTTAGTAATGAGATGAAAATATCGATTAGTTTACCACCGATGAAGATCATTATATTGTCTCTTTTCTCGTCGAAGTATTCAATGTAACTGTTAGCAGCAACTGAGGCCAAATTAGTTACCTCAACGATCCCCGTTTGGATATTAGCTGAGAATGTGGAGCGTACGAGTTGTTTGTATACATTCTCGTCATAAGAACATCTTAATTGACCCCAAATGGAGTCGAAATTTCGGACAAATGAAGTCGACGGGAACCCGATGCTCTCTAGAACAACATAAAGACACCAACATTCTGAAATGGTGAAAACCAAGAAGATAGAAATCGCAAATTCTGAAGAGTTGAGATTCTTGGTTATCTCTAAGATGAACGTGATTGTCCTTATAACGAGAAGAGAAAGAGTTAGACTTGAAAAGGTCAAATGAAACCATCGATAGTTGAAGATCAATCGATTGATTATAAAATTACGAACGAAAAACTGATAAATTGATGAACGATAAGAATCACTGGGAACTTTAAATGGAGAATTCAACAAATTTTCCTCAATTATTTTTCGATTCAATGTTAACATAATACAGAATTTAATCAGCCGAATAATTTAAAACACCTAAAGATCAAAATTAACTCGAATTCACAATTAACAAGTAACTTTCAATTTCTACCTTTTATTTTGTTACCTTATGATTAACCACAATAAAGCAAATCGATTAAGTAAATCTTTCGATCGAATGTCCGAAAACAAACAAAACTATTCTGACCGATAAAACTACAGTCTATTGGGTTAACCATTTCCATGATTGAGTTGAACAATTAACAGTAAATAGACAATACAAATTTTAATTATTCCTTTCATCTTAATGATCAATAGTTGGACTAAATTCAGTCACAATATTTGGTAGCAGTAAGTAAAAGTAAACCCCCTTAGGCACTTTCAAGGTAAACCCAGTTGACCATTGAACATATGATCACCCCCCTAACTTATTTCGGTACCTCCGAAATTAGTTGAGGGGGGTTATGTTAATTCAATGGACTTATTGCTCGGGGGTTAATAAGTTAGCGGGGTGATCATAGTAAGTCTATCTATCGTTAAGTCCATTGAATTAACTTAACCCCCCTCAACTAATTTCGGAGGTACCGAAATAAGTTAGGGGGGTGATCATATGTTCAATGGTCAACTGGGTTTACCTTGAAAGTGCCTTAGGCTGTTTACTTTTACATAGTACTTTGGTGCTTCCATCTTTTGATTCATCATAGTACCACTTACGAAACTGATTGAGCTTAATTGTTGTTGTTGTCTATTGATAGACAATTAATTAATGATAATCCATTACTTTACTATTGCTTTATTGTTACGTTTCCATTCACAATGTTGTTTCCTTTATTGATTGTCAACAATCAATCAAATTTATTAATATGTTACAGTTAACTTGTTCAACGGAAGGATAAAAATAAACTAATTGTTGTATGACCGATATCAGATTGAGAAATACAATTAATCAACATTTACACCTCAACAATCAAGGTTAATTAAGATTAGTATATTGTAATATTTAACTCATATTAATTAGAAATGAATGAGAGGGAAAAAATCATTTCCAGTTAATTATTAAAATCTAAATGTTGTGAATCAATTTATTATTAATACAAATCCATGGGGAATTATTAAAAGTAACAATCAAGCTAATCAATGATCAGTAAAATCAGTAAATTGTTATATTGATGATCAAGAAATAAAAAACAAAATTCAAAGCAAATTAAATAAATGGAAAAATCAATCGATTGGTAAAAATAATCAACTAAATTAAGGAAAATAAACAATTAACAATTTTGTTTTCTATTAGTTAATTGTCAGGATAATTAAAAAAGTTTACAATTTATTGGATAATAATAATACTTTTTGTTGGTTATAATAATTTTTTATTCTTGCAAAAAATAAAGACTCAAAATAATTAATCAACATTTAATTATCTTGAGATAATGTTCAATTAATGAATATATATATAAGTCCAGAACTCATTGAGGCCATGATAGTGACCACTGGATGACCATCACGTTATCATTATAATCCTTGTTGAAAATTAATCCAAGTTGTAAACTTGAATAATCCGTTTTTGTTAATCCTCGATTTTTAATCCAAATTGATTTTCCCTTTTTGTTTCAATATCCTGCAAGCGATTTATAGTTGAATTGTGATTAGTGGTAATTGTCATCATCATGGATTAAAGATAAGATAGAAAAGAGATTAAGATTAACCAATGATTGCAATTATCTGCTTAAATTGTAATTCAATGTAATCTAAAAAAAATCAATCTCAATGTTCATCAGTTAATTAATTAATTAATTGACTACTCGATGGTTATTATCTCAACATGATTCCAATACAAAGTATTAGTTTAATTACTATTAAATTTGTCTGTTAATTGTAATTGACAATATTATTAGTTAATCATTAGAAAGAATTACAATTTACTTTGATTACTAATCCTTCAACTTGTCTCTAATTGCTGGATAGTACATAAATCAATGGTTGGTTAATCAAATCTAATCTGATTAACGACGATTGATTTGAATCCTTTTTTTCCCCATCTAAACATAAATTTTTCATCAAAATCATCAACAATTAGTTAATTTAGTTAACCAGTTTCCATTGCTATTCCTGTAGACATTCAAACACAATCACAATCAACGATTCAAATTGAGCTGATTAACAATCAATAACAATATTTAAGTAAACACAATAAATGAAACAAATCAATTTAAATTACCATCTCATGTGGATTGTGATCAGTTAATTGTGGATATTGATGTTATATGTTGTAATTTGATTCCTTGATTATGATAATCAAACCAAATGAACAATGTTCATGATATTACCAACAGTTATCAGGATGATGATGAACAGGAATGATGATTAATTGATGGTGATGACTAATGGTTACTACTTTTGTCCTCTCAAGTGTTACAAATGATGAGGATGATCAACATGATGATGATAATCAAGATCCTGAAACCATTGAACCAGCAATTGAAAAACAGAAGCCCAAATACTCAATACTTAGGTAAGATTATTTAACCAGAAAAAAGGTTTTATCCCTCGTCCAAGGCTTAACGATTTTCTTTATCATCATCTTGCTCCTTGTCTTCCTCTCTTCCTCCATCCACCAGCCTTTAACCACCATCACCTCCTCCTCATAGTCATCATCATGTTGTTGTTAATAATACAAGATGAGATTCAATTAATCAATCAACCAGCTAACCAATTCTCAAGGTACACATATTGATGATAATGGTAACAGAGTTAATCCAATGAGTGAAAAAACAACACTCGGTCAAATTGTTGGTCTGTTATTTAATTTCATATTTAATCATCCATTAAACGAGAGAGTTGATCAAATGGTGATTAATGATGATCGATTCTGTTTTTTTTCTGGTCTTGGTGTTATTATCACACTCGATTCTGAGCTCGATGATTATGATGACGAAATGCACGTTTACCTAGTAGAATCTTTTTAAAGGCCGTTCTAAAGTCAGCGCTGAAAATGGTATAAATAACGGGATTGAGCATCGAGTTAACATAACCCAACCACTGGAATAGGCTGATTATCAGAGTGGGCGGATTGCAAAGGTCACCGCAAACGGGCAATAACAGGGCAACGATAAAAAATGGAAGCCAACAGATCACAAAGATTCCCGTTATAATGGCCAGTGTTTTGGCCGCTTTACGTTCACGCTTTGATTCAATTGAATCTCTACCATTAACAGAATTGATTCCACTTCCACATGAACCATAGTTCTTGGTTGTTTTCTCGCGATTTGGACTGATTAAACTGGTTGTTATTCGTAACATTTTCCGCCTCGAATTGGAAATATTTTTACTCTTTGTTTTACTTTTTCGAGAACATGATTTACCTGTATCATCACTTGCGCTCGATCCACCGCGACCTGGACCATCTTCACCCTGACTTGGTGAAGTGTAATGATAAGTTGTACCTTTGGAATCACAAGTAACCATCACGTCCGATGTGACTGATATTTCCTGACCAATTAGATTCCAATCATCATCTATATCAATTGTTGATCCATCACAAGTTTCTGAATGATTTGTTGCACTAGAATTAAATTTATCTCTCTCAATGGTTGTAATTAAATTAGTAACTGTTGAAGGAGTTGAAGGCCCACTACGATTATTATTGGAAAGCGGTGAATTCACAGGAGATATAAGGCATTCCTTGGCTGGAGATAAGGTTGATGATTGATAATTTCGTGAACAATCAACTGGAACACTGTTCATAGAATTACAATTAGCAATCTCACAACTCGACATGGGAACCGGACAAGTACCTCCGTCTTTCCTTGTCACTCCCATTCCACCAATACCAACTCCCAAACTCGATTCTTGGACAATCACTGAACTTTCCTCGATAACTTGACTTGTAATCGAAGGGCAAACCGAAAACCTTTGACTAGCAAACGACCTTTCTGGACTTGGATTCGAGGCGGTGGTTGTTGTTAAAGTTGTATTGGTGGACATGTCGCTCGAAAAGTTGGTTGTGGTCACTTCGATATTACAAGGCACTGATAAGCTCTTAGAGTTGTCACAGGAAGCATGTTTCACGTTCAAGACAATTCGAGTTCCAGGCTTTCGGCGAATCCTTTTTCGAGCGACCTAAACATTGAGCAAAGAGAAAACAACCAAGAAAAAGAAAATTAGAAAAACATAAAACAATTAACAAATTGTTCACATCATGTTAATCAAAACATTGAAGCTCAAACCCTTTATTCTGACTTGGGATTTGGTTTATATATTTATCATCATCAAGATAATTTTCATTACATGATATAGTTCATGATAGTTTAATGATTATGCTTAGGGTTCAACTCCCTCAACTGGGAATTGAATTAATTCAACAGAATCGAGGATTAATTAACCAACAAACAACAGTCAATAGTCAATTTAACAAAACAACAGTTAATTGTGGTTGGTAAGGTCAATTGAATTTTATTATTTAACACCAATAACCAAATTGATTCAATTCAATTGTAAAAGAAACTTTAATTTAGTTAAACTTGATATTCTCAACGCAATTTCAACACAAATATATTGCAACAGCTAAAATTAAGATTCTAGAATTTTTTTTCACAATTAACATTTTGATTATAATACTAATTATTTTCTGGAATTATCATCACAATTAGTTGATTGTTCAGGATTTTCTAAATTCCTTCAACTATTTAAACTGTAATTTATTAATGGAAAACTTTCCCTGATTAACAATCAACATTCTGATGCGGAAATTGAATCTTCCTCGAAACTTTCAGCGTTTCGATTACTGGAAACAATCAGATGATTATGATGACAAAGAAGATAAAGAAAGTAAGAGAGAGAGAGAGAGAGAGATGATGATGATGATGATAATTACGAAAAGTAGTAAATATCTGATGATAAATAACAAGAGAACACGCAAACTGAATCAACTGATTGTTAAACTTTCAATCTTATCAAAGTCTTTTAATTCATTAATTTAATCATCCATCATTCCTCATGTCCGCCTTTCCTTGCTTCCCCACCACCGCCATTTCCCACTCCTCCAATCATTAACATCTCTCTAAACCCACTCCATATTGATTGTAAATCTATTATATGATAACAACAATTAACAGTTTATCTTGTCAATTGATTTGTTGCATTGATTAACTAATTATTATAATCAATGTTGTCATTTTAATCTGTTACTTGTTAACTTTCACGGGTTAATCATGATTGCAATTTAATCATCATAATCATAATCAGCTATTGGTTCATTTTGATATAATAATAATAATCACTTGATAAAGTTGATTGTTAATAATAACAATGTAAACCATTAGGGTCAATCAAATTTCTGTCAAACTGGACAATCAAAAGTTATCATGATAATTGGATTTGTATCAATAGGAAAGTTTTACTTTGACAATCAACAGAAAAAAATAGAAACTGTAACAATAATAATCAAAAAATTACCAACAATTTAATCATAATGATTTAGTTTTGTTTGGTAAAACAAAGGAATCAGTTAATTGGGTTGCGTGTGATTTATACAAATGATTGAGTGATGAGGATGTTAAAAGGGTGGAGTGGGTGGTGAGAGTCAACAGATGATTACATGGAGGAAAATGATGATTATTATTATTTAGAAAACAATAATGATCATTTTCAGGGAGAATTATGAAAATGGATAAAGATGAAGATGAAAAATCTCTCATCTTGACTTTGTAAACAAGAAAAAGTTTCATCATCTTCATCTTGTTGATTTACCCAAGAGTTTATTTCGTAAGTGATTCTCTCATTTTTCATCCAATATTTCATGAGAATTCAGTTTCAATCTCATGGAATGAAAATTTCCACATATCGTATCCTCTAACCTTTCAACTTAACAAATGACAGATTATTATGATGATTAGGATTCTCATCATGATTATCTTTCCTTAATTGATGAAACGATGAAAACCAATGATAATAATGGTTAAATTAATATGAATTTATAAAAGTATATTAACTATTTAGAAATGATTATCTAATCACTCCAGTGATTTATAAATAGTCTTGATTATCATCATGTTTCTTTATGGTGATGAAATTGTTCACCAGGAAAATAAATTAACATTTAATCAAATATTAATTTAATAACCATTTAAATCAATTTTATATTTCAATTCAGCTAAATTAAAATGTAAACCATTCCACAATTATTTAATTTAATCAGTGAATTAAAATTGTAATTCTAACTGTAATCAATTAAATTGGAAAGTTTCATTTTCAAAATTGAATCAAATTGATTTTGATTACAGTTGCAACTCTTATTTTTGTTCATTATCCTCATGAAATTAACTGAGAAAAATATTCACCATGAACATCAAGGAAAACATGAAGATTGTTTTTCTGTGACAAAAATAATAATAAGTAGTAAACCTTTCAAGTTAATTGAATTAACACTCAATTTATGATGAAAGTTTGACTTGATCAACAATTAAAGTTGGCGAACAATTTAATTTAAATTGTTTAATTCTAAAATTTATCCAATTATTGTAAAAGAAATTGAAAAAATATCTACAACAAAACTAAAGGAAAGAAATTGAAAGTAATCATTTTAAATTATCACGTAAATTGAAGTTTAAATTGTTAATTAAAGTTGATATTTGATTGGAAAAACAAGTCAACATTAAACTGACCATCAGGGGACATGGTCAAGGTTAAAGTTTTGTAATAAGTTGACCTAATTTCCTATTGTGTCGGTTCACTCAAATGGATTCACCTTCCATGGTGTGTTATTAATTCAATTCAATCTAAATTCATCTCAGACAATTCCGAGGATTGTAATCATGATTACATCATGATAATGACTCAATATCATGGTGAGCCTTTTAAGGGTAATACTTGAAATTCAGTTGACTGTATGAGTCGCTTTCATTTGTTTATCTTTCATGATAATACCCATGGTTTGTATTCAGTTATTTTCAAACAATAGGAATCCAAAGGGTGGAAAAATATTCAATCAAAGTTAATATTCTGATTCCCTGTTGAGAGAGACAAAGAACTGGAAATAAAAACCTAACATTTAGACCCTTTTGAATATTTAATTATCATGAATAAGGTCACATTTTCACCAAACTGAGCGTTAACTTAACCTGAACAAATATTTATAATTACGATTAATTCATAAATCATATTAGATTTTAGGATCAATTGATTCACTTTCCTTGTTCTGTAACATTGCTGTTCAATTAATGAACTTATCATTTCCAATCGGCCTCATGATGTTAATCAGGGTGAAAGATTTTAATTCTGAAATAATAACTATGAGAAATTTGGAACAACAGTTTCAAAAGCCAATTCTTATCCAAGCACCGAGAGTCATCACCATGAACTGAACATCATGAGGATAAATTTTCCGATCATGTGTTAAATCAACTAATAGTTAATTCCAGGGAAATGTTCAATTGTGAATATAAGTTATTCTTAATCAAAGATATATAATATTAGATTCAATGGTTATCTTTAATTCCATGATGATGATTATGAATTCAGCTCATGGTTAGTCTAATATGGAACTTACTGTTTACTCAATAAAAGAAAACAATATAACAAATATCTTAATACAGTCCTCGGCAAAAGTTTAAGGACAATCAATTGATTATAATGTATATTTCAATCGGGAGTAGAAAAAAATTTTTGTTCTAATTCACTTGAAATCTAATCATTGTCATAATAAGATCTAAATAATCTGTAATATTAACTGAGTTTCAATTCTGTTCATGGCTCACTGATTATTTCATTAAATTATCTTAATATTAGATAAGGAACATGTAAAAGTAGATGAATATATATTTTGTAACTAGTTACAATTGCCTGATCATAATCAATTTAATTTGTTCATTTCATTCATGGAGAGTAGGAGAAAAACTTATTCCACTAAATTCATGGAGACTGAACTTTCGATTTCAAATCGAAAATTTTCCCATTGAAATCATGATCATCATGATAACCTGAGAGAGAGAAAAAAAAGTTCATGAAGAAAAAATAATCTTTCATATTTTGATTAAGATATTTTTCTGATCCTCCTCTCTTCAAAGGTTAGTCTTACAAACGATTAAGTAAATTGTTAATTTAAACTACCAATTCCGAGAAATTCATCATGAAACTTTCCCTGAAATAATTATACCCTTGGAAACCACAAATTTACTTCCTATGTGATAAAAGGGTAAAGATTGATATTCTTTTGATATTTTTTTCTTTTTACACCAATGGAAAGTCATGATTGATCACAGTAATTAAAGAGAATTTGGAGAAAAAAAAAGTTTCAAATTCGAAACTGAAGCGAAAAGTTTCAAGTGTAATTATCGGTTGGGCATTCGAGTTGAATGAAGGTTGAATGAGGAAAACGAGAGAATCAAATTAAGTTAATCTTGAACAATCAATTAATTGGCATAAATTGTGAAACCGATTATTATCTTAGTTGATGAAGGGACAGCAATTATTAGATAGAGGAAGTAATTGCTTGATTGTGATGGCGAAAAATTTGTTTCCTTTAAGCTACAAAGTTACAAACCACTTTGTTCCAAGATGAAAACTATCTGAACCAAAAATTCTCAGCATTCTGAAAATGAATCATCTTTACCTCTTCTCTCCATATTATATGTCAGGTGAGCTGAGTAAATTCTTGGAATGTTATCCATGAGAAGAAGAGAAGAGGAAACAAAAAGACTACATTGTCTCTCTACAAATGAATACATTGTAGAATGTTTCAATTTTTCTCTTCCAACTGAGATTCTCTCTCTCTCTCTCTCTTTCTGTATTTTAATGAATGATAATCTCATTGCTATCATGTAAACATGAAAACATTCACAGGTAAACAAACTCAGTTCAGAGAAAATATTACCATTATCAGAATTTTTGAATAGGAAAAACACACAGAAAGGCTTGTTAAAAATTCTGAGATTGTTAAGTTGTTTTTTCCACAATTCCCCATGTTCACCACTCGAAAGTTAATCTTCCCTGATTGTTCAAACTTCTTTTCAATTGTGATCATGATCATCGAATGTAATATTAAAAAGTCAATGAATTTCCTTTTAATTTCATCTTAATTTCACTTTGGGTGTTAACAGAAATAGTTAATTACAGTTTTGGAG